TCCGATCTTACCCTCGGATCTGCGGCGAAGATCCGCAATGGAAGCATGGTGCTTTCGTAACTCTCGCTGCTCATCCCACGCTTGACCGTGTAGCAGCGGCATCTGCCGAGGGACAAACCAAGTCAACTGATGTGAACTAGCCAGGGACTAAACCAGAATGATGCCTTATTTGCAAAGCTAGCAGGGTTCTTTCTCTGAGCTCCTCTCAGCCCGGCCAAGTTCGATTGGCCGACAAGTAAATCAAGACCCTGTCGCGCTGTGGGACAGAAATTGGGAGCCCCACGCATTGACAGGGCCAGGGGTTTCGGGGGTTGCGTGAGCTTTGATGTTCAGGGGGCATTGCCGCAACAGAACACCACGAAGATCGATTGAGGAACTCCCTTTCATAGTTCACGAAGAATACATGAGCTTCCAGACCACATGACAGTCGCCCAAACTCGTCGCGGCAGCAACGGACCATCATGGGCTGGACCGGCGAAGGGCCATCGCTGTTCGCGTTTTCCGCCGGGATGCTGCTGTTCGCGACGCTGGCCGTGGCATTGCGGTTTGTTTGCCGCGGCTACATCCTCCGCGTATTAGGACTGAGCGACTTATGCATACTCTTTACACTCGTACGTACATGGCGGGAGGCACACGGGGTTATCCCGACACCCCTATGCTAAGTATCACGCTGATTGTCTAACCCAGCTCTTTTCGCTTGCCGACACCTGCATCCTGGGAATCTGTATGTCCGATCTCTATCCCCATTACGCAGTGTTAGATCGTATCCCTTTGAGCCAGCAGCTGACGGTGAATTCCTGGTCTAGATGCCTCCACAGGGTTGGAACTCCCCAAAGACTCCTCCGAGCTCACTTCGGACGAGAAACAGTTCGTCTTCAAAGTGGGTTGTGATACCCCTTTCTTTACCTTCCGTGTTCCAAAACCACCGGATCAACTGGCGCCGATGGATGGTTAAACAACCACCTTCTAGATGCTATACGCAAGCAAGTTGGTTGTCAACTTCAGCGTTGTGATGACCAAAATCCTCGTCCTGCTCCTCTTTTCTCGACATCTTCTTGACGTCCTGGCCACGGTAAGGCGACGCACGTTCCTTATCGTCCTGACGTCGGTATTCGGCATTTGTGATGCCATAACAAACATCTTCGCCTGTCTCCCGATGAGCTCCTTTTGGAATCTGGACCAACCTGACCACCAATGTATCAGCATCGGTGACACGAAGGCGCTCGCGGACGCTGTTATAAGCTGTGTGCTCGATGCCGCCATTTTTTGTCTTCCACTCCCCTTAATCTGGCCCATGACTCTGCCGTGGCGCCAGAAAGCTTGGCTCTACTTTGCTTTTGCCCTGGGCTTCTTGTAAGTTGCCAATCCCCTTCTGCTGTTATCTACTAGGGAGTCCTGTATCTTTTGTTTATGGTACCGATCTAAGATGTGCGTAGGGTTTGTGCCGCCTCCGCAGTACGGATTTACCTTGTCCTGGGCGGCGTCGGGATACCCAGCGAGGAGAACAGCCTTCCGTATTGGGTGGCTACCGAGATCAATGTGGCCATTGTCATCGCCTGCATCCCGACGCTTCGCCTCCTTGTGGTTAGGATCTGGCCTCGACTATTAGAAACAGCAGCAGAGGACGCCAAAACCAGCGGAAATGGCCGTACTTCTCAGCCGGAACAAGAGTTTTGACATCTCTGATGTTGATGCTGCGTTCCACTTCTACAACTGCGACCGTGTGCCCAATATGGCGCTTGTATTGCTCGCTTTACTTATACCAGCACCCGCAATACTACTCTATTCGCCGATCTTAGCGACGCGCCAATGCAGATGCTTTGAATTATAAGGTCCGCGGCGGGCTTCGGTCACTCGTCAGTGCTTGAAGATGGTTTCACTGGGCAGCATATCTAGCCACCTAAGCTCATCTGCAAAGACGTTGGGAAGTGTGGTACCAAGTCTGTGGCGCCTTAATATCTGCCAATGCTCCCCTTAACACCACGCCTGAGCAGTGTGAATAATTGACTAGTTTACCTAGGCACCCAACCTATCACTTACGTCGGGTGTTAGCATCTCTTCCACTCATCACCCGATGGCGCGATCATTTCCACCCCTGCGTGTGGTTTCCTCAAACATCAATGCTGGTTTTGCAGAAAGCAGTAAGCGCTAAAACACCCTCTATTATCCCCATTAATACGCCAGGAATCGGAAACAAGGGTGGCCTATTTTATCCGTATACATAGCTTACCATGGGAACTGCCTCGTTACACAGATTATCGATATAAAACTGAGAATGACGGTCGATAAAGAGAGGCGCAAAGGAAAAGTCGCTCAGAATCCTACCTGAGGGCCCTGTGGATTCCACCAGCATGTTGTGGCTGGGTTCCAGTCCTGAATCTTACCAACCATGAGTTCGGAGCTTGGATATACTAAGCTCTATTTGGCAAAACATTGTATTTGTACACACTTCTGGAGGTGAGAGTGGCGCAGGGCAAGGGCCAAGGCTGACATGTCGATGCTTCGCCCCAAGCAGACAAGACTGATTGGATGGTTTTGGCGAGATCGTCGCAGCACTTCGAACGTCGTCATATAAACTTAGACTCAATCACTCGAGGTAGACAGGTATATATATCTATTTACACCCAACCGTCAAGTTGCTAAAGGTGGCAGAAACCCACGAGTATTCCACCGCCCTTTTCATAGCCCCTGCATCACATCACAACGTCAGACCGTCGCCTTCATTCTCGAAGCCTCCCTAGACAGCAACACCCCCACCATCCACCGCCGCAACGACCACCGCAAACAAGTTAACAACCAAACCCCCCAATCCCACAAACCACCTCCCTACCTACCGAGGTACCTAACCATGGGCCACTCCCACTCGCAACCCACGCCCCTCACGCTCCCCCCCTCCCTCACCAACAACCACCCGCTCCCCACCCGCATCTCAGCCGCCTACCAAAAATCCTGGACCAAAATCACCATCCTCCTCCACGACGCCTCCACCCCTACCAACAACCCCACCACCCCCACCTACACCATCACCCTCCCCCAAGGCTGGTACGGCGCCATGACCATGCACGCCACCAACCCCAACAACCCTGACCCCGACTCCGCAACACCCCTCGCCAAAGCCGACCCGGCCGGGCGGATGCGACAGGATTTTGCCGTGGGGCTGCCCGCGCTGGGGAAGGGCGGGGTGCAGCGGGCGGAGGTGTTGCGGTATGTGGTGGGGTGGCGGCATGAGGTGTACTGGTTTGCGATGGCGGTGGGGGGCGGAGGTGGGAGCAGTGCGGGGGTGGAGAGGTTTGAGTGGCGGCGGTCGAGGGGCGGGGAGGTGAAGGGGGTGGAGGGGGGCAGTGGGTGGGGGTGGAAGTTGGTGAGGGTTGGAGGGTCGGGGGGGTCGGGGGGGCAGGGGAATGGGTATGGGGGAGATGAGGGGGGGGGATGGGTTGACGAGCGATGGGAAGGAGGTGGTGGCGGTGTGGGCGAATCCGGGGACGCTGAGTTTTTCGAAGCTGGGGCAGTTTGAGTTTAGGGGCAGTGGTGCTACGGGAGAGCTTGGCACACTTTGGAGCATCATGGCGGTGATGAGCTGTATGTGCATCTGGCAGAAGTCGATGCAGAGTGCGGTCACGGCAGGCGTCGTGGCCGGGGCGGCATGATAATGCACGGTGCATGGGGACGGGGGAGCGGATCAATGTTCTTGGGCGCCATTAAGCGAACAGTTTGAGTTATTCTTTTGTGGAACTTCAAGGGGAAGGTGGCGGACTTGGTGACCTTGAGTTGGGGAAGTCAGGCGTTTAAACATGTGGATTACAGTGTATTTTGTATGGAATCATGCAGAGATACTCAGGGAGATTGTGGTTTATATGCCCAGAACAGTGGAAGTACATACCTAAGATACAGTATTAAATTATTGTGATGCCTGGACATCTCGGTGTGGTAGGTTGTAAGCTACCACTGTTAATGACGACTAGGCGTGTTTCCTCATCCTTCCATGAACAATAGGTGCCCTGGATGCACCCCAAAACAACAGAAACCAGAAATACATCTTTTGGCAGCAAAAGGCAACATCTTCCTGCTCCCCGGGTGTCATACCCTCAGGAAACCTTTGAGCAAGGAAAGGAGTTGGGGGTGGTGGTTGTGGCACTCGAATCACGCCCGTCTTTGGCCAGGCTGCGAGGAGTTGAGGTTGGCAGCAAGGGAAAAGACAGGGTTGCAATCAAAGTATGAGCAAGGGGGTTTGCGCTGATCGATGAAGGAGTGGCGAGAAGCAAAACAGTAAGGACAGAAAAGAGTAAAAGAGACAGTAAGCGCTAACAAACGCTAATGTGCAACTGCCAAGTTACAGCAACGCTCAGCCATCAAATGTAAAACATCAAATCCTTCAGATTCTCCGCCAGCTTGATCTCCTCCGGCTCCAGGCCCGCCGCCGTATAACACCGCGCCCGATCACAGACCTTGTCGGCCAGGCGAGCGGGGGTGCACACGCCAATGGAGCGCGTGGACCGGCCAAAGGCGTACGACAGGGCGTGCGTAAAGGCCTCAAGCACATCTGCGGGGTTATTGTACGGGGGGTTGGCGGAGGGTCTGTTGTCCGGAACAGAGAAGGTGCTGCGGAAGAACTCGTCCTTCACCACCACGTAGTGGGCCGGGCGGGCCGTGCCCTGGATGGCCTCGTGCGCCTGTAGGTAGAACTCCCAGAGGAACTGGCTAGTGATGGACCGGTCGACGACGGTGCCCGGGCGGGTGTTGCCTTTGCTGTCCGCGTGGTCAGCGGCGGTGGGGAAGAAGCGAGTGTGATGGCGCTTGCCGACGACGATGATGGAGATCTTGGGACCGGGCTGGTTCTTGCTGCCGTACGCGGCCGTGCAAACAGAGCAAATCCCGTTGTACTCGTCTTCGGCGACTTGGCTGTACTGGCTTTCGGAAACGCCGTCGCGGTAGATGATGAGGGCGGCGGGATATTTCTTGTGTCGCCCATAGTAGCGGTCGAGGTGCGGTTGGAGGAGTGTCTGGAAGGATTGCATGCTTGTCACAATCTCTTGATTCTCTCGATCCTGGAACGCTATGGTGGCTGGCCACTGGGCGAGATGCTCATCAGCGTTTGCGACCATGCCGATGATGCTAGGGGTGGCCTTTGCTTTGTTTGCGCCAGGCGGCGAGTGTGTGACGTCGAGGCCAAGGACCATGGCCTGCCACGTGGAAAGGATTTTGGAAGTAGGGAATTCCAGTGTGTGGTTGATGCCACCTTGCTTGAGGTTCGCCTTGAGTAGGATGTTGTCAAAGAATTGCAAGTCGAACTGCATCTTCTTGGTATGCTTGTTGAACTTCTTCGCAGCTTTGGATTCGACCATGCAGACTGTATGAATCCCCACCTTGATGTCGGCCGCTGCTTTGATGGCGTTGTATAACTCTGCGCCTTTGTCCGGCAAGAGCACGAAGACCAGATTGTATCCGTAGTCTCGCAGGAACTCGAAGTGTTTGGCCAACTCGTTGTTGCGAGTTTCAGCGGTCGGGTTCTGTGTTAGCCCCTTTGGCATCTCATGGCAACGGTAGTTGACATGCCAATAGTCTTGGGGATTAAATCCGCGCTTCCTCATCAATTTCCGCAGCTCTTCGTCCATTTCCACATAGTGGTCGTCGTACCATTTGAACGTTCCCATGGGCACAATTACCCAGGCCGCCTTCTCCCCTTTCCTGCTGTGCTCACCGACGTCGACGAGGTTCCATTTCCCAGGTGCCGTCGGAAAACTAACCTTGATGCTCTTGTATTTGACGTCAGGCATGGCAAGAATGCGCCCTTGGGCTCTGGCCAACCCGGAAGCAGGATTGAGCAGTTTCGCATGCGCCGAGGGATTCTTCAGACCAATCCTGTCGAACCCGTCTACCGTGATGCAATCCACATTGTTCTTGGGTCCGAGCTGCGCGAACTTGATCATGGCCTGAGTTTGGGTGTCCGTTAACTTCGGATGGTAGGGTTGCCCGGGGAGAATCTTGCAAACGTTCACAGGGTAGTACGCAGGCCGCCGCGCACTACCTAGGTTGACAACAAGTTCATCATGTTTCGGGGCATACTTGGGGTAATCTGGGAGCTTGGTCAGTTTGAATGCCGTGAACCACATCTCTCGGGTAAACGGAGTCTCACTCTGCTTGAAGTGGTTGTAGACCGTAACATATCCGTCCCCGGGCCTGGACGGATCACAGAACGAAACTTGTGCACACTGCACTCCATATCGTCGGGATCCTTTCACAAATTTAGGCGGGGGGTGGGTCGTCGAAGGATTTCCCCCAGATGTGTCGTTTGACGGGCCATCTGAGGGCGTCGCAAGCCCGGATATAACCTTGACGACAGGCTTGTTGTCGTCACCGTCCTTGAAGGTCCGGTGGAGCAATTCAACCCGCAGCCCCTTCAGGATGCTATGTAGTTGCGCGTGCTTGCGGGGGTGTGCGTATCCAGCATCTCTGATCCATTCTCCGAGCGGTTTGCTCTCAAAAAAAGCGCCGTGGGCGGTGTTGATGTTTACCCATGCCTTTCCCGCCCCAAAACGAATGCTGGAAAAGTAACCCCGGATTGAAGCGATGCCCAACTGTAATGGCTGCGTAAAGTAGAAGTTGGGGTGGTCCTTTGGCAGCTTGGTGTCATCTGTCAGGGGGTATGCTTTGCTGGCGACGACCTTCTGCGTGGGAAGCTCTGTTGATTCTTTGAACTTGGAAAACTGCCGAAGCCAGATGTTGAGGACCTGGGCGAAGACGGCTTCCGGGATGGTTGTTGTCTCAGGACGAGTGTCTGAGCCAAGATAGTCCAGCAAATCATCCATTTTCAAGGGGTTTTGCACATCGTTGGGCTCCATAAGAGCGACCCTGTATCTTTCGAGCCTGTAGTTTGACCTCACGCCCTTGTAGTCGAAGGTGTACACGAGGACCTTGAGAGGGGTGGTGCTGACCATGATGTCGCGGTAATCTGACGCAACTGTCCCTCGGGAACAACGGTCCTTGAGGTCCCGGTCATGGCCAAGAAGGTGGGCGATGATGGCAGCACGCTTCATGCCGGCCGGCTGTGCGGCGGTGTCCCCATTTCCATCTTCGACGCCAGGCTCGCTGGGAGGGTCGTTTGAGTTAGGGTTCAGCGTCAACTGGTCCGCAGCCTGAGAAGCCAGTTCGGCCGCTTCATTGTTGGATAATTGTGTATCCGGGACCTCCGTACTGTCTTGTTTCTTGTCGTCGTCGTTTTTGATCTTCGTGATGCTGATTGAGTATCGGTAAAAGAGATGGCCCCGACCGGGTGTGAGTGCAACGTAGTTCGCCCACAAAGATACCGCTTGGCCGAGTGTCCCGTAAGCCGGGCGTTGAAGTGCTTGGGACTGCTGCGTTGTTGATTTTGGCTTCGCGGCAGTGCGGTCTTCCAACATTCGAACATTTTGTAAAAGGTCGCCGCCATTTCTACAAGTATGTTACCCCCTGGCCAGCCTAATATCACATTACATGATCGGCCATGCATGAAGAGATTTACCTATAAAACTCATTGGGAGGTTTGTTGTTGAACTTCTTGTTCTGCTGGTTTCCGAAACTTTGACCTCCGCGCCCACGGCCACTCATCGTGATGCACAGAGAATCCCGCTCGGTGTAAAGGTAGTTCTCGGAGTCTGGAGGGTAAGAGAGGTCGGGTGTAAGGGATGAATGAGGTGCTTTAGATAAATAGTGGCTGCAATCTAGGTGTGCTGAGAGGATGGTGGTTTTAGGGCACAAGGAGGAGGCCTATTGATCAAGAGGTCGAGGAGGGAGCGGGGAACCTGATGTGCGGGCTGTGGTCGAGAAGCGATTCAAATTTGGAAGGGAAGCGGTAATGGCAACGCGGCGAAGAGAAAGAAGGCTGGGTCAGGTTAGGGAAAGAACTTAAGGGGGATGTGAAGGCACTGCCCAGGTCGGATATCTTAGAAGTAAGGTAGGCACGGAGGAACGCTGGGGAGGATATAGGTATCTCGGGGATAATGGTCAGGGACACGATATTGGGTGATGTGTTAATGCTTGTGCAAACTGAGTGTCGTAACGAGTTTGCTCCGTAACTCAAAGCCCGATTGCTTGGTGCATTGAATGTATGATGGTCTGGGAGGCATGGCGCCAGCTTAGGATTACAAATGTTCTGGGAACAGCTTGCCAACCCAACCCTTGTGGCTAAGCTAATTTTTTCCGGATGATGGGCTGGGTCACAGCAAAGAGTTTGGCCAAGCTTCGAGTACCTCATTGTCCAAGTTCCAGTGTCTGCATTGTGGTGAATGCGAGGCAGGTGTCTCCCTGTTGCTAGTAGCATCACTTGGTAGGTGTCATGCCAAAGTTCCTTCCAAGGACACTGCATGGTTTGCTTCTGGCGAAAACAGCCATAGGGAGGCAAACAATTGCTAGCATCGGGAAAGCGCGAGCAAAGCTGTGCATCCATGTATTTGCCGAAAAAACACAGGTGCCAAATTGCCCGCCTCGCAGCTCCGCTGGGCATTGTATGTTCCCACTCATCCTGGGCTGTCAAACCACAGACACGAATCGAATTCAGGAGCACCTTGACGGGTATTCATCTTCACCTTGACGGGTATTCATCTTCACGCAAGTCGACAACATGTTCGATTCTTTTCTCTAGATTCTTGTCGTCTCTTGCTAGTTGATCCACCCTTTCGGCCCACCCCAAGTCCCCTTGACCATGGACTTGTAATACACCCAGGGGAAGAAATCTTTCTTGAGATGGTAAAAGGCGCGCCTTGGTGTCGCTTGATCCCAGCCAACCCGGCTGAACGTCTCCTGCGGGACTCCACCGTACTTGAACTCGGCCAACATGACCTTTCCATACTCGGTCAGCAGCGGGCACGAGGTGTACCCGTCGTAGGCAGGCCGGGACTCGCCGCCCTCCATCGCCTTGACGAGATTTCCGACCAGCACCGGCGCCTGGGCCGTGATCGCCGCAGCAGTCTTAGACGTCGGCAAGCTGCTAGCATCGCCCGCGGACCACACGTTCGCAAACTTCTTATGCCTCAGCGTGGCGTCATCCACATCCACAAACCCAGCCTCGTTCGCAAGCGGGCTATTCTTCACAAACGCGTGCGCGTCCATCTTGGGGACGACATGCATCAAGTCGAACGGCCTGCGAACCTTGTCCTTCCCGTCGGGCCGCGCGAACACGGCCGTGTTGCCGTCCACCTCCACCAGGTCGTGGCCGAACAGCCCCTCCACGCCGCGCTCCTGACGCAGGGCCTCCAGGGCGGCACTGTACTTGGGCACGCCAAACATGACGGGCAGGCCCGTGGCAAACGCAATCTTCACCGGCGACGCATCATCATGCGCCTTGTACAGCCCCGCGCGCTTCCAGTGGTCCAGCGCGAGCCACATGATCTTCTGCGGCGCCCCCGCGCACTTGACCACGCCCGCTGGCTGCGTGAAGATGGCCTGCCCCGCGCGCAGTCGTTGCACGGTCGGGAACACCTTGCCTACCGTGTCGAACGTGTAGATGCACGACACGTTGGACTCGGCGTCGGACACGGCCTCCGGCAGGCCCTTGATGCTGGCGAGGTCGACTTTGATGCCGGGGGCGACGACCAGTTGGTCGTAGGTTAGTTTGGAGCCGTTGCCGAGGGTCACGGTGTTGTCTTCTGGGGTGAAGATGGCGAGGGAGTCGGGGTAGAATTTGAGTTTGGGGTCGACAAGGGATTGTAGGGGGCGCTTAAGCTCGTGCTTGTCCTTGAGCCCGCCGCCGACGAGGGTCCAACCGGGTTGGTAGTGGTGCCATTCTGCTGGGTCGACGACGGCGATGTCATCTTGTGAGAACTTCCCGGTGCGTAGGAGCTGGTGGCTTATTGTGAGGCCGGCTGACCCTCCGCCGACGACGACAACCTTGTGATTCCGTGCTGGGCTGACTGGGGAGGAAGAGACTGAGGCGAAGGTCCGGTATGTGGTTGGATGGTTGAGTGTCTGCTTGGCAACAGCCAAGGCCTTGGCTGTTTGCCTTGTGAAAAGCCGGCTGGGGGCCATGGTGATGATGTGGATATGGTGAGAAGGGAGATCTCGAACGTGGCTGCCAGGAGCCGCCGTGATGAGCGCCTTGGTGGTGATATTGGAAAACTACAAAAGGGCTGAAACTGGGACATTGGTCAGCAAGCGAGCCGTGCGCGAGCACGCCATGCGCTAATTTACGGGAAGCCGGCTGATTTGCCGCCTAGCCAGTGGACCCCGACTCTTCAGCTGGTCGCCGAGTCGCGGAATCGAAGCTTCTCCGTGGCGCCACCATGGCCTGACACCAACGGTCCGGCTCACCATTAAGGGGCCGACCCGTCCACATCCTTACTCCGGGGAAGCCAACTTAGATCCCGACCAATTTGTACAACGGCGAGAGCTTGCCTTCAACGGTTTCAGGAGAACCTCTTGCTTGAACGGAGACGGCTCTCGCGGCTGTCGGCGGGTGCCGGTACCAACCCCTGACTCCGGTCCGGGCCACGGGACGGCGACTTGTATGTGGATCCCCGGTATGCTGAATCGACTTTGACATCAGGTGAGCCGGTAGTATCCGGCTTGTCGCCATTAATATCTTCCTGTGACTCGAGTCTCGACTCTAAGTGAGAATCTTCCTAAGCCAGGCCGCCGTAAATCAGCAAGAACACATTGAAGATGAAGAGGTTGCCGCTACGCATGTGCATTGAGACGAGGTCACAGCCCACAGCCATTTCTTGTCTCCTACTCCCCCATACTGCCGCCGGCCAAGCCACGGTGCTAAACCTTGGAGTCTCTATTAACCAAGACCGCCGGATCCATCACCAAACACATCACACCCGACCACAGAGAGGTCTCTCACATCGAATACTACGACCTCCCACCCATCAACATCCTCAACTCTCCCCTCTCACAACCCCCAACCCCATCTCTCACCGAACATACACCACCGCCACCACCACCACCACCCCCCCAACCGCCAAACCCCCAGAGCCCACCATCGACAGCCTCTTCGACCCGCAAACCTGCACCTGGCAATACCTCGTCGCCGACCCATCTACCCACACAGCAGCCATCATCGACCCGGTACTGGACTACAACCCCACCACCCGCACCGTGTCCACCACCACCGCCGACGCCCTCCTCGCCCTCATCCACGCCCGCGGCTACACCATCTCCCACATCCTCGAAACCCACGCTCACGCCGACCACCTCACGGCGGCCTTCTACCTGCAGCGGCGGCTGGCGGCGGCGCAGCGTGGGAACGATGATGGTATGGTGGCGTCGCCGCCTGTGGGTATTGGGCGGCGGATTGGGCAGGTGCAGAGTTTGTTTGGGGAGCGGTATGGCGTGGAGAGGGCCGAGTATGAAAGGGTGTTTGATCTGTTGTGGGAGGATGATGCGGTGTTTTGGGTGGGGGGGTTGAGGGGGCGGGTGGTGCATCTGCCGGGGCATACGCCGGACCATGTGGGGTATTGGATTGGAGGTGAGTGGTGTTGCGTTTCTTTTTGGGGGGTTGTGTGCTGGTGAATACATGTATGCTGACGGGAAGGGTTGTTGTGGTAGACAATGTTTTTTGTGGTGACTCGTTGTTCCATCCCTCGCTCGGGACTGCCAGGTGCGATTTCCCTGGGGGGAGCCCGCAAGCCTTGTATCAGTCAGCTAAAAAGCTGCTGGCACTGCCGGATCACGTCAAGATTTGGATTGGGCATGACTATCCGGTGGAAGGAGAGAGGGGGCCCGAGCCTTGGACGACGGTTGGTGAACACCGCGCGAGAAATAAGCATATCAGGGACGGGGTTACCGAGGATGAGTTTGTGCGGATGCGGAGCGAGCGGGATAAGAATCTAGCGGCGCCTCGCTTGGTGCATGAAAGTTTACAGGTGAACATACGCGCGGGGCAGCTTCCTAAGGTGAACGCGGCGGGGACGAGGACGCTCAAGGTTCCAGTGAATGTTCAGGGAGAGGTGTGGTAGGCAGGCAAAGGCGAGGATGATATGTAACGGACCGTAAAATATCAGCATGGTGTAAAGATGACAACAAAGATCTTGAGGACCTTGATAATCGTCATTTTTCGACTTCGTAGAGTCGTGCGCCCCCGAGTTGTTGGCTCCAACTATCTACGAGTTGTTTGAGAAGCCACTTGACTTAAGGCAGTTAATGCTCCTCTAATTTGGGCCCGGAATCCCAATCCGAAAATGAGGTCGGAGCGGCGGCATGGCACAACCCATTGTCATCGAGGGTAAATTACGGGTCGGTGTGTCGGATATCCTCGACGACCTCCACTGCCTCGAATTCTGGATTCGAGATTGCAGTATTCCTCATGTTGGGCAGATAGGACAGAATTTGGTATGGCTTCTCCTGCTGGTAGATGGGAAGGTCTTTCGCGCAGATCTGCTTTGCATACATCGCATCTATGATGATCATCTCGGCACTCTGAAAACAAGTCTTGAGCCGTTGTCTGTAATGCGCGGCCTGCCCGTGTAACCGCACCCCTTGTAACCAGAAGCGAGGGCCACATCAAATCGGTGAATTTGTGAAACCGAGCGCAGAAGTCGATGCTGACGGAGAAGCAAGGAAGGAAGGCGGGGAGGCGCGGAGAACGTTGATAGGGGAGAGTACCAATTTGTTTGGCACCTACTTAGTCTGCGTTTGCAGGGCCTTAGGTATGTCTCAGGCGCGGTAAATTCAACAAAGATGAGAACTACGCAGGCATTAATTATCGTGGGAGAGTGATATGTCACATATCTGTTGCTCCGAGTTGGCAATATTTCCAGGACCGAGGCGTACACAGCACGCAAAGATGATCACCAGTTACAGTCATAAACCACACCCGAATCTCGGCTTCGAACATTTCCTCCGTCGTGAGTAGGCCGGTGCTGCAGGGACGCTGGCCTGTGTACCGAGTGTGCTGCCCTGTGCTGGGGGGCGTGCTTCCCTGTGCTGACTTTCTCCACAATAACTAAAGATCGCCTAAAGATATGTCGGGTTGCATCGCCATGTTGCAATATTGAACTCCGGCCCGCCTCCACGAATCGCACGCTGCATTGACACTGTCTCAGCATGTTGTCATACCTATCCATGTTCAAGAACCAGATTCAAAGATGCGGGGAAGACGTTGAATAACAGTTCCTGGTTCAGGTTGCAGCTAGCTGAACGGGACTCGTCTCCCTGGAAATAAGCTCGGGACGATTGTCGGGCCGGTACAAGGCTGCTATACCACATCCGACATAGTAGCGGCGACAAAGTAACCACACAGCTGACTACACACGGAGGGAACCATAGACGCGCCAATGGGTTAAGGCCTGAACCCCGCATTTGTATATCGTTCTCTTTTTCGTTGGTTGTACCGGGGTGCGGTGGTGGTGCAGCGGGTTGAGGTTGAGGGTGTGTAAGTCAGCAAATGTTGTAATAGTTTGGTAATGGAAGAGGAGGGAGGCGGATGAAGTGCTATAAAAAAGGTGTCATGGAAGGCATGGGGTTTAGTTTTTGATCACAAAACTTCAAATTTACGGCAAAACCTGCCCGTAGATCAAGATGCGATTCTTCACCGTCCTAGCTGTCGTCGCTGGCGCTGTCACCGCCCTCCCTCAGCCGGTTACCGAACCCGAGACTCCCGCGAATGCCAATCTTGTAAGTCTGTTTATGCCTCTTTATGTCTACGCAAAATGAACCAAAGGCGGGGTGCTTTGACGATACGATTAGTAGAGTAACTGACATAACAATATAGAATAAACGTTATTGCAACGTCAGTAAGTGAACCACTACTGCATTCATCATTTATAACTACGAGCCGCCAGGAGGCATTTGCTGAGATGTAAGATAATAGACTGTGTGACCTCTTGCTGTAAGAGTGCTGGTTGCAACGGTTATCTGCACTGCGACGGCTCATACGTAAGTTCCTTCTATCAATTCTGTCACCCAAGCACTACGAGAGGACATTCTATTCTTCATCTCCATTTCTCGATTCCCTCTTTCCTACTGCTCTTAATCCAACCGCCATGGTTTACTGATGACGCCGATTGGAACGTACCTAGTGCTACACCAGTGATGCAGGCCACTCGTGGTGCGAGTGCAATTGCCGCTATGGCTGAGCTGATTCAAGGCAGAGACAAGCTACAAGTTTCCGCATAGCTAGAAACAAACGAAGGTCGAGTTGGATACGGAGATATATAGCGAGAAAACAAGGAATAATATATCATTGCTTACTTGACCGCTACGTTCTGTCTGTCTCATCATGTCCGCTGATACCACCACCAACCCACCAACACAGTGATAGACCCAACCACCCCTGGCAGCACCAACCTCAGCGTGCTCCCATAAAATTTGCCCAATCTCTTCTTTACCTCCTCCTGATGCGCCTCTTGCTCATTCGCCCTCGGAAACGGCACATCTGGCACCGGCACCCCCAGAAACTCGCACAGCGGCTCCCAGCCGTCCCCCATCTTGTACTCCAGCCTCCTCTCCTCTGGCACAAGCCTCCTAATCTTCTTGAAATACTCCTCATACGTCCTCCGCGCATTCTCCTCAATCTCCGGCCTCGTCTTCGCCCCAAACAGACCAAAATGCACCTTCCGCATCGCCTGCACCGCCCGAATCCCCATGACATGCCACCCAATCCACCCATTCACCGTCGCCATGGGCTGCACCATCACCCGATCCAACACCTCATCCCGAAAACTCGGCCACCACTTCTCAAAAGCCCTCTGCACCACCACGACCTTCGCCTCGGGGTATGCCTGAACCAGCTCCACCGCAAACGGCGACGCCAGGTCCGTCACCACGTCATAACCGCCCCAGAGCGCGTCCCAATCGGCCCTGGTGAAAGGAGGGCGCGGGCGCGCCGAGGGAATGTGCGGCCAGGTGGCTTCGGCGGCGTGCTCGATTTGGGTCCAGGGGGACTTGGTCACGTTTTCGAGGAGACCGTGGTGGGTGTTGAAGCCGAGGGATTAGTAGGCGTGGGCCATGGACTTGGTGCCCATGCGGAAGAGAGAGGCGTTGATGATTTTGAGGTTGGTTGGGGTGTTGCCGGAGGAGGAGGAGGGAGTGTTCGGGAAAGTGTTTGGGGATGCCATTGTTGTGGGTTGTCTGTTGGTGAGCGGTGAGTGTGGTGACTCAGCGAGTACCCAGGAGCGAGTTGTGAGGGTGATGGTGATGACGGTAATCAGTGACCTAAGAGAGAGAGAGCGGGTTGTGAGGGTGTGGGGTCGAGGGGCACTCAAGAAGTGCCATGAAAGAGTGACACCTGTCGCCATTGAGAGAACCGCTTTTATTGGGGGCCGCGGCCAAACTACGGCGGGATGAGCTGCTGTGCCACGTGCTGCTTTTGCTGCCCATAGCTTTCCTCAACATCCCGTGTACAGGGACTGTGTAAGATGCAATTGTCGGGCATTACGCAGGTATGTCTTGGCGTCTGTTGGTTGTTGTCCCCCGGTTCTTACTGTGTTGACTTGTCCTACGTTCCTAAATCCGTAACCCATGACTGATCCTTTGATAATGCATTCTACCCTCGTTGGACCTGGCTGATGGCTAAGCGGGTATGTCCTGCTCTATTCCCCTGATAGTCAAGCCTTGTTTAATGCCGGTATGACCACCGCACCAGTGAAAGTCGATACCGGGTTGCGCCGTCTTGGGTCCCGTTCACACAATGCAAGTCATATCCGATGCTGGCACTGATAGCCCCCAATGAGATAGCCCCCAATGAGTGCCTGGAACTCTGGAACGTCCACGGCCAGTTCTTTGTGTACTCCCTCGTCGGCAGTACCAACCACACCGTCCTAGTGGTATGTCCCCGCCATCTAACCCGTCTACCGCCATGGCACCACTATGGCTCCAACTCTCATGGGGTCGTCTATCGATGATTGCTGAGTGTTGGACGAGAGTGATGAACCCCCCACACTTAATACTGGGTACATGTTCGTGAGTTGAGTAATTACAGACGGAATACTTGTGAAATAAGGCAAGGGAAGCGGGGTTCGGGCGCTGGGCACGGCTGTAAAACAGTAAGCCATACTACGTAACGCTAAACATTATCTGGAAGCTACGGTTGCTCCTTCATGGTGGAGACACAACCACCCTCGCGCGGTCACTGCCAGCTGGGTGCTGTCACGGCGTGGCTCTTTCCGATCGGGTGTACGTTTTGCGAGAGGCTTGTCGGCAAGACAAAACTCATCTCCCCCCAGCATGGGCGTTTCCGGTTCATCTCGTCTTCCACCGTTTGATGCAGCCAGTAATTGGGTACAGCACGACTCGAATCAGCAAGACGAGACCCAAGTGTAAAGGCTGTCGCATTGGAAATGAGGTCCTTATTAAGTGAGCCAGCCGTGGGCTATCATTAGTACCCGAAAGGCAGGTAGGTAAGTATACATGTAGCTAACTACTTACCTACCGTAGCGGGAAAATGTGCCAGGCAAGTATGATACTTGGCCTTCCAGGAATGCAATCTATCGTTGTCTTGTCAACTATCTGTCGGAACATCTACGCCAGAGTTACGTCCTCGCAGGGGGACGTGACGGAGGGCAGGGGGGGGTCCACCACTGGGGCAGTCGTCACGTGGTCCTGGACCTCGGGGACGACAACCCCGGCTGCAAAATCTGAGCCCCCCTCATTTCTAGATAGAAGAACATGATCCAATTGAACCACGAATGTAGCACGTCCCTCCAGAGAGAAGGGATTTGCCCTGTGCTTCATCAACGGACAAGCCACGCGTTTTGATCTCTACTGCGACCGGGGACAAGCCAGACCTTCTATCGCAACCGTCCGCAAGACCACGATTTCCAAGACAGGGTGCCACTGGCGAGGCGTTGCTAAAGCCTTGAACCTCCGAATGGGAATCGGAGGACCTAGCCGAGGTAGAAGGACCTCCGGCGTCGAAGAGAGGCCGGAATAACAAATCCAAAAGCTCGGCAGTGAAGGCCGTCCCGGCAACAGCCCCAATTTCACGGCAGGAGGTGCAGCAACAGGAAGTCACGCAAGACAGCGTAGAGGACTGCATTCACGTGGCAGTCCGAGGGTCAGAATGACCTCGGCCTGGAAGCAACGGTCTTTATTTTCCTTTTCTCGCAGCAGAATTGAGAGTTTTGGGTATTTTCCTTGAATCAAGAATTCTTGGTATTCGTGCGCTCTGCTGGATGAAACTGGTGGCTGTTGGAGCGAAGTTCCATGATTTGTGTCCCAAAGTAGGGCGGCGAATCATGCAGCTCACCGCCTTCCCGTTTTGGCTGGCGCACGGACCATTACAGTTCAAATAGGAAAACGCTACAGTTCAAGGAGGAGAACTCTTTACAAAAGCACAACGCTGGACAAGATGAAATCAAGGACTGAATCAGGTTTTTTATTTTCTTTTAGCCACATATCCATTCTTGAATACACACTATATACTACCACTAGCAATGATTGAATACGGCAGTACAGGGGTAAAACCGGTTGGAGGTCACAAGTTAGAGTATCCTTCTGACTCTTGGTCATCCACCCGGGTGTTACGTCCAAGCCTGGCTCTCTGCTGCTGCTTTCCAGGCCGAGACATGGGTTTGCCAAAATCCCCGCCACCCGCACGTTTGCCCCGGGAGACCAGAGTACCACTATGTCTAGCTGTGACTCCGCGAGTATTAATTAGTGTGAGCTTCCTGCGTGTTGCTGTCAGCTTCCAGAGCACGCTGAGACTTCCTGCGGTTGCGGTTCGAAGCGCGGGTAACTGGAGTGGTTTGGGCGGTTGTTGTGGTAGAGTCGCCTGCGCTAAACCCCGTCGGAGATGTTTTCGCTGCCGGGGTGACCTCTGTCGTCGGAGCGTTGACAGTTGCACCGGGTGTTGTGCACTGCCGAGTCTGTTGCTGCACCACCGACCGGCTGTGGACCCTGCCTGTATCGGATGTGGGGATGATGGGCACCTGGATCCTGGATTGCGGGAGATGAACTGATCCGGTAGCCAAGCCAGACCGCGTAGGTGGCGGCGATGACATCCTCTTCGATGTTGTTCTGGTGATGCCCTGGAAGTTCGATGGGGTGGTTCCGGTGGGTTGGCTGACACTAGGCCCGGCCAAAGCACCGTGTGCCCGCTGGCCATCGACGGCGGCGACATTGTGCGGCTTCTCATAATCATGTGGTGGTGTTGGAAGTGGTGGCATTCGAAATACGGAAGCTCGGTTGCCGGTGCTACTGTTTGAGGGTATCCAGGGGCTGGACAACGAGCTATTCAAAAGGGTTAGGGCGATGACCACCACCGAAGAACAGAAAGAAACAACCTTCAATTGATGATTTCTGGGCTGCTCGAAGCATCTCCAACCTACTGTTGTAAGCTCCCATCATCCGTCTGATAACCGTGGAATTGTGGCTGTTAGTTTCCAACAGGAGGGAAGGAAGGAACGGCCTCCTCTGTGAGAATTTTTCCGGCAACAACTCCTCGCCCACTCACGAGTCCTTCAATTTCCTCCCTCTAATACCCTCCCACATCAAATTTTCTTTACAACACCATCAACACCATCGGGATCATTGACAGCGCAAATATGGCCGACCAACCGAAGGGTCTAAAGTCGCGCTGACTTCGCAGCACAGCACGTAAGCAGCATCTATCGCCGCAGAACCCGGGGCCTCAATTTAGAGACAACCACATGGGGCTGAGCCAGTCATCGATTAAAACCTCCGCTTTCCCGATGGGTTCGGCGACACAATTATGAACGACAACGACGGCGATATCTGTTCCGCGAATCCACGAATCCCGGAAATCCACCCCGACGTGCCGATCCATGGCATTGAAGGTGCCAATGATATTAGCGACACTGATTTTGACGATGACGGCATTTATCAAGCTACAAGATGTCTCACCACGCGCGATGGATCGTCATTATCCCAGCCTTGCTCCTAAACTGGTTAAAGAGGGAGCACATTCGGCCAAGATTCTGGGACCTGTTGGATTCGCCATATGGAACCTTCTTGCGGATACCAGTGTTGGAAGTTGTGGCACTTGAAACACGGAAGCCTGGTTGCTGATGCGCTTATGTTAGAGGGGTTCCAGGGGTTGAACAAAGGCTATGAAAAGGAGGTCAGGGCGATGCCCGCCACTGAGGATGAAGACAGAACGATCAATCAATTCTTTCTCCCCGATCTTTCCGTCTGAGTGTCGTTTCCAACAATTAACAGTCACATTCCGCACAACGATCACAAGCCGTTGCGTTACACCAAAAAGGTCATCGAATACGACAGCCAGACTTACTTATTCGAAAGTTTCGACCAATCAGATCCTACCATTTTCACCATTTCGACCATTCCAACCGCCATTATGCCCACAGGTTCGGACTACGAGTACACCAAGTTCAACAAGCCTAGCGACTGGGATGAGTGGAGTGAAGCCTATGAGGAGAAAGCTAAGCACGCTGGGATCCTTGACTACGTCCATCCAAATCGCAAACTGAGAAAGCCCTGGCCAACCGAGCCAGTCATACCTCAATTCGACGACTTTCAGAAGAAGCAGCCCCGCCGTACGGCTCGAAGCTCCAACAACAACGACGATTCACCGAAAACGGGCGGAGCTGGTACCGAAGACGTCAATCGAAACGCCGCTCGAAGGCGTGCCGCTGCTGCCAGAACCGGTACATCCGGAAGATCCCAAACTGCCGGAAGATCACAAATCGAAACTAGCAATGCAGATGATGACCAAACACCATCCACAAGCGATCACGAAGAAGAGGAGGATTCAGCAACCGACACGCCCAAGACCACTCAGTTCTCACATCTCACTGCTATCGGTCAGACGGATTGGAAGGCAGCTTTCGAAATCTACAAGGAAACCAAGGACACCTACTACGCCAAGACTGCTGCTAGATCCAAATTCCACGATTGGATCCTCAAGAGCATTGGTCCGAACTATCGTCACGTCATGAAGGGCAAGGATATACCAGAAGTCTATCAAGCACTCAAGGAGCAGTGGCTTCCGTTCAAGCGGACGATCAACAGGGACCTCAGATCTGAATATTCAAACCATCTGAATTAGATCAAGAACTTCGAACGCAAGCTAGGAGATTGGGCCATTCGTTGGCAAAACCTGGTCAGCGAAGGGATCGAGCAGAAGATACCACAGATAGCAACGCCTAGCTCGTGGTACGACGACCTCACGGACGCCTTGAAGGAGATCAGAGATGGAAAGACCTGGGCCCTAGGAGAGCTAGCAACCCTGAAAGAAGACATCCTCGAGGAAAGCCTCTGACACAACCAAGTGGCTGCCCGAATGCAGTCAGCGATCGGTGGAAAGATCAAGGACAACAAGAAGCGTGGAAGGATCGAAGCAGGTTTTCCAGTCCTCCACGGTAAGGATGCCGATAAGCCGGAGGAGCCAGCGAAAGAACGTCGCCGCCGACGAGGCCGTCAGAGCAAGGAAGAGCACCAGGAAGCCAGGCAACCACCAGATACAAAAGAAAACACGCCATCACGACCATATAAGAAGATTCGAGCAGATGGAGACCGTTGCGACGCCTGCCTGCAATATGGCCACAAGCTCAACAAGTGCTATTGTCACGGCACCAAGCCTGACCTGCTTGGGTCACGTGGGCAGCACGTGCTCACGCGACTTGGACCAATACTAGCAGCAGTATCTCCTCTCCGTGAGCGTGCCCTTGCGAGAGCTTCCTCTCTCCTCATCGCACAACTCAGTCATTAGCCAGAACCTGACCCTGTCCCGTGACTCCCCTGACCACGCCCCGTGACAGTCTCAACGATATCATTGAGGTTGTACGAGTTGAAGGCAAAACGATTTGATCCGGATGTAGTTAGCGTGCTAAGGCCCTATAGGCCCAGTGCCTCCGGGCGAAATAAATTCCATCCATCCATATCATTGAGGGTACTTTAAGAAGGCTCACGGGACCGCCCTGTCGAAAGCCCCACGAGGTACATTGTCGTTACCTATCACAACTACGGCGCCTTGAACCGGGCCGAATCCAAGCTCGACGGAGTGCGCCGCCTGCTTGAAGGGGCCGACCAGCTGCGTGTCGTGGTTCTTCTTAGTGCAGCACCCCTGGTCCGTCGGCTCCAGCCCCTTTTAATTACGATGAGCCAGGGGGTGGTGATTCGCGTCAGCCCCACGCAACCGCCGGCGATTTCTGTTGGAAATCCAACAGCCAGAGTAGCGATACTTCTGAACAGAGCGCGCAACGTAGTGCAAGCAAGGTCACTGATACGAGGCTTCAATTCGTGATGCAATTGTCTGACAGTCTGATTGATGTAACTGGAAGAAAAGGAGAGCCTCTGTGCCCTTAGAAACGCTGCATTGGGCCCAGTCTGGTGGGCCCAATAAGCCCCTGTCGTTGACCCGCCGTACCGTATCTTCAGCCACCCGTTTTGTGCAACAATTTCTGCAGCCCTGATTGGAAATAGCTGCCACACACCGGATTTGGCCCCCGAATCCTAGGGGACCGGACTTGGGGGCCAAACCCGAAATTTTGGTGGATGCTCCGCCGTTGTTTCTCTGGATTCCAGCCCGACAAGCAACTCTCGCGTTACCAGAGGAGTGGGAGGAGTCCACCATGTCGGCCACCGGCTTCCTTCAGTTGCTCTGCTGGGCTTGGCTCGTCGTCGGGGCGACCGGGGAGGGTTTTGGAGGAGACGACTTTGCGAATAATCTGTTTTCAGACCTTGCGCCGTACGTGTCACGCTCTGGTCACCTTATGTGAGCGTCACTTGTTAACCACGGAATGTACGAAGTGTCCTTGCCCTATTTGGCGAGAAGGTGACGATGCAGTTCATGAGCCAGAGCATGGGATGGGCCGACAACATCATACTGGCCATGGTGCCGCTGGGCATCATGACCGCCGTGGTTGGTGCAATCCGTGTCGGAGGCCCGACCTGGCTCAAGGCTCTCATCGGGAGGGCATGGGAGAGCCGTGCGATTGTAGAGTCGGAACTGATGTCGTCCACCTCCCATGAGGTTTCTGAGCTCTGGAACGGCCAACAGATTGTCAGAATCATGGGCGAGGGTGAAATCCGGGAGTTCATCATCCTCGTGGGTGACGATTCAGACCCCACTCTAAGCGATGAAGCTGGGGGCGTTCTCGGCGGCGAAGCCCCAACGCGCACACCGAGTGTTCATGCCCAAGCCCACCAGGGCCATGATGCTGAAGATGACGATGGTTATGTTGCTGAAGACGACGAGGTTTATAACGTCGAAGACAACCAGGAGGCGCCTGCTGTCGCCGACAACGAGGATTCTAACGGTGCTGAAGTCCACGAGGACCAAGACGCTGAAACCTACGAAGGTCATGATGCTGAGGCGAACGAGGATCCTTATACCGAAGACAGCCAGGGTTATAACGTTGAGTACGACGAGAGTTTTGTTTCCCGACACAACGAGGAGATCAAAGCCTGGGGCCTCGACGCTGCTCCAACCCTCGAGATTATGGAGCTCAGAGACGACGAGAAAAAGAAACACATCGCCGAGTACAGTAAGTGATAGAATACTGACTGCCCAACTGTCCGATAAGAAGGTATAGAAAGTCACGAGCTTACCGGACGTTCATCATGCATAGGGCCGAGCACTTGGGATACCATTTCAGGCCGTTTTTCACCTCACCGGAAAGCTAGGCGGAGAAAACACCGCATGCCCACCGTTTTCGGCGATCGGAAACAAGCCAGGGCGACAGACATCGAAAAGTCCATGCCGGCCGGGGATCCTGACGAGATATCCAAGCGCCCGGTGGCAGTCGTCCGCAATACAGCGGTCCATTCCCCGAATATGTCGCTAAACGTTGGAAGCATGGCAACCACCCGAGAAACCTATGTGGTTGCCGCCTTCGGGACGCTTCTCCAGGCATGCTTGCTCGTGTATGCCGGACTGACGGCGACATATTTTCGAGACAACACCCAACTCCAGAAAGAACCGCCGGACGGTTACGCTTTTCCTTGCATGGTGGTGGGGACTGTGATGCTAGTGTTGGGTACTGCGATTTGTGGCCATGTTGTGGAAAGCAGCACCTCGGAAAGACGATACCGTGCAACGGGGGGGAAAGAAGCTCGAGTTGTCTGGCTGCAGCGATCCGGCACCTTCAACGACCAGGCCTTCAAGTCATTTGCCATTTTTCCAACCAAGGCTCAACGCGCTATAGTAACTTCGCAAAGGTCAAGGCTGGAACGAAACTCGGCGTCTGAAGAGCCATCCGTGGGGACAGCCGTAGAGGTGACTACCACGGTGGCTACCGTGCTCACTCTCTGCGGTTTCGTGGTCCAATTTGTGGGACTACGTGGGATGGACTGGACTGTCGCGATCGCCCAGCTTGCCGCCACTCTTCTCATGGCTGCCCTTCGATCGTTGGTTCGCCGCAACCTTGCCGAGCGCCCCAACTCCGAACCAGTACCTCCCGAGCACGAACTGGACTGGCTGGCAATGACGCTTGCGTACCATTCGAATGCTCCATGGCTTCACCCCGACAAGCGTGAATGGGATGGCGAAGGGCGTGCTACGCACACTAGGCCCTGGAAGGACCAAGGCCGTTGGGATTACCGGATCATCCCCGTTCAAGAGCCAAAGAATACTGCAGCTGGAGGCCCCACTAGCGTTGGCAAGTCGAGAGCACACCAAGCGATGTTGATCAGGCGAGATCTTGGAGCATTAGCAGGCTGGCGAGGGCCCGCCTCGGCGGAAGCCGTTGGTCTAGCTTCTGCAATCGAGATCGCCTTGGAAACCCTCCTCGGCCGTAGTGGCCAATGTGGCGATACTTTGATCTGGCACCTCACGTCCTCGAGTTGCGGCGTTCATGAACCCGTCGTGTTCCGTGCAACCCGAGAGGAGAATTCCTGGAAAACCTGCGCCGATGACATTGAGGCTGCTCTCTCGCTTTGGTTATACTCTGTTTACCACCAAGAGAAAAGCAAGGAGGGTGAAGCCGCCCATGGCCCCAGAAGAAGGTTGGCAGGCACCACTCAGTCACAGAATAAGTTTGCGCAGGAAAAGGAAAGTCTCATACTACTGGGCTCGTTTGATGCCAGAATTCTGAGACGAGACCTGAGTTTGTGGTTGCCCGACAACAGTATTGAGAACATAATTGATGTCGACAAGTGTACAGACGAGGGGCTGGGCAATCCGATCAAGACGCATCGCATCGTTGGGTTCGCACAGAACACTAGCGGCCACCCCCCTACAGAGACCGACGAGTGGATATACTGGGCCCGACAACTCATGTATGGGATAGCCAAGGAGGCAACTCTGGCGGTGCAGCTACCAATGGACCTCAAAAAGCTCTACGTCCACCACATATTCTCCGCCTTCATGTGGGCTGCTTCGGAGAAAGCCGCAGAGAGACACTGCGCCTTGTTGGGGGCTCTAGTCTTCGGAACGGAAGTAGAGATACGGTCATTCCTCGATCCTGAAACACAATACCGGTATAACCATGCGACGGATCAACTCTCCAACAAAACACTCTCTGCCCTGGCCCAACAACTCGAAACTACCGGCGTCCTTGGCTCCGTCGACGAGGTTTACTATGGCATTCTCCCGCCCCTGAGCGCATGGAATTTGCTGCCGCCCGTCCACGTCATTCTCAAACGCGGGCTAGAGGCCGTGCACCATTTCGAGCAGCAAGGCGACTGGAGGAGAGTCAGCCTCACATGCGTAGGGCTTCTGAAGAAAACAGCCTTGTTCCACCGCGACAACAGGACTGACGTAGCGTCAGAGGCCACGGCGCTCGTGATGGAGCTTCTGAGGGTGCTTACCGAAACAACCAACTTCCGGAAGGGCCAACTCGTTAACGACGACACAAAAATTCACCAGCTCGTCGACTCTATAACATGGGCCAGCGCCCAAGTGGCAGCGGACAATGACCTCTCCATTTTTCCCCGCCTGATGGGCTTATATAAATGCCAGGGCCGTCTGTGGAAATGCGACTTGGTAGGGGACATTTCGGACTACCCTACGATACTGCCCGGTGAATTCGGCTTCGAGACCTTCCACAAGGCTGCTTGTGATGATGTTGTTCCCGAGAAACTGCGTCACGGATGGATGGTGAAGCAGGCCGTAGATCGCCAGGACTTTCTTGGCTGGACGCCGATGCACTACGCCGTTGCTCGCGGTTCGCAGGGCGTACTCGGCTATGTGATGAGATGGGGAGCCGATGTCAACATCCACGACGTCCGCCGGCGAACCCCGCTCCACTATGCGTACTGCCACGACGACGCCGAGGTTGTCAAAAAGCTCCTGCGGGCGGGAGCAGACGTCAACGCCATGGATGCAGGCGGGATGACGCCGCTCCACGACGCGGCCAAGCACGGTGCGGCAAAGGTCGCGGCGGCACTCATTGAGGGTGGCGCCGACATCGGCCTTGCCGACTACGGAGGTAGAACGCCATTAGCATGGGCTGTGTGGAGCGGGCACGCCGACCTCGCGAGGAACCACCTCTGGGATCCGAGCAGCAAAATACAGAGTGACAGCTATGGCCGCACGCCCTTGCACATGGCGGTCACGTCGGATGAAAGCCTTGGGAAAGACTTCGGCGAAGTGTTTGGCTTCCTAGTGCCCACTATCGACATGGATGCCGAAGACATGCGGGGTTATACACCTTTGCATGTTGCTGCAATCAAGGGGCATTTGTCGGCTGTGCAGTGGCTCTCATCGAACGGCGCAAACGTCCATGCGAAGGAAGGTGGATGGTACTATGTCGGTCGAGGATGGAGGCGCAATCTGGTCAAGCCGGGTCTCACGCCTCTTTATCTCGCCAAGCTCATGCTAAAGAGGGCTAAGAAGAAGCAGGAGGTGGAAGATGAGACGAATGAACAAGTGTTTGATCAGTCAGACTATGTGCGCTGGGGCGGAGGGTGGGAATCAGACTATAGCGCGTCGTACGAAGGGGACAGCGACATAGATGAGTACGGGAACATGGTGAAAGGTTATAAACGGCGCTATGAACTGCAACCCGGCCCGGATGCCATCAAGGGACTAGAGGCCGTCATTCAGGTCCTTCTGAAATTTGAACCGGGGCAAGGGGAAGACATGGATGATGACCAGGATAGCACCGAGGATCAGAGTGATATATGGGGGAGTGATGAGGAGCGCGTTGACGAGGCTGAGGGTGTCGAAGAAGGTAATGGCGAGGAGGGTGATAACGAGGATGGTGATGCCGTGGGAGTTGACGACAAGGATGGGGACGATGGGCACAGTGAGGAAAAAGCAACCTGAAGTTAGTGGCAGTGGTTGCTGTTGGGGCAGGCTCGCAACTCTCACCGGCGTCTCCAATATCGTCGCAAAAACGACGTATTTACATCTATGCCGTCACCAACATCGATGAGGTGTGTCTGAACGACTTTGGGAGCATGGGGTGGCGTTGTAGGGGAATTATAGCTGTCGTGAGCCACCATACATGACTTCCATTCTTAGTATACCCCCTTACTGTGACGCTTTGAAGCAATGTCCATGTCGGCAATGGGTTTCTGCCACATTCCTCTTTATCACCAGGTCGCTTGTCAGGTGTCCTTTGGAGCTGGCATCTCGCGGCGCCAGCGGAGGGAGAATATTCAGCCTTCCGTGCCACACTCGCCTTGGCACTCCGTCATCCCGGTCCCAAGGTTACATGCTGGGTGCATCATCGAATCACAGTCATACCCAGACTCCCTTCCCCGCGCGGAAAGACATGGTTCGTATTGTGGCGCGCCGATAAGCTCAGAAATCAGACATGATGTTCCGCCGGGACGGGCAGGTGACATTGCCCTTTTATCGCCAAGGTTCTTCGCTGGGGAGATCCCTCGTGCGACCTAATATCGGCGAAGGGTGAAAACAAAACCTCGAGTCGTTTCAGTTGCAAGGTCACCTTTCACCAACCTTGGCTTATCTTAGCACAGCTAATCGACACCGTTGCTTCCCATCAGAATGCAACCAGAAGAGATACCCGTGGAACGGCGGCCTTCGAATAGGGACGAGGGCGATGAGGACCGACTCGCGCAATTCGGATACAAACAAGAGCTGAAGCGGGACTGGGGACTGGCGCACAACTTTGGGGTCTCCTTCTCAATCATCGTGAGTACCAAAAAAACGCTTCCCCTTGATGGACTTGGGAGAAACCGACCAACAGAGCGTTATCACTGGCATCTCTACCCTCTTCTCGTATGGGTTAAACACCGGGGGTCCGGCTGGTATGTTGGAACACGCGCCTTGTTCAAGAACCGGAAGAATAAGTACTAACACTCAATCACGCAGTTATGTCCATCGGCTGGATCGTCGTCTCCTTCTTTACCCTCCTCGTCGCCATCGCCATGGCCGAGGTCGTCTCCGCCATTCCGACCAGCGGCGGACCCTATTTCTGGTCTGCCATGCTCGCGCCCCCGCGCTGGTCACCGTTCGCAGCGTGGCTCACGGGGTGGTACAACCTCCTCGGCCAAGTAATCCCCCACCCCGCCGCATCCCCAACCCTCCCGCCAACAAAGTCACCACCCCCACTAACACCCTCCCCCCCTCCACACAGGTAGCCGTAACCACGGGCATAACCTTCGGCCTCGCCAACCTGATCCCCACGGCCATCACGCTCAAAAACCCCTCCTTCACCCCCACCCCATCCATCACCATCGGCATCTACGCGGCGCTGCTCCTCTCCCACGCCGTGGTCAACACCTTCGGCGTGCGCATCCTGCGGCACCTCAACAACGTGTCCATCGCGCTGCACAGCGCGGGCATTACGGCGCTGTGCATCGCCGTGCTGGCCAAGGCGCCGACCCACCAGCCGGCGTCGTTCGTGTTTGGCCGGTTCCATGACGGGACCGGCGCCGAGGGCGCCGAGGGGTGGAGCGGCCGCGCGAGTGCCGTGTATGTTGCGGTGTGCGGCGCGCTGCTGTCGCAGTATACGCTGACGGGGTTTGATGCGTCGGCGCATTTGAGTGAGGAGACGCGAAGGGCGAGTTGGAGCGCGCCGATTGGGGTGGTGTCGAGCGTGGGGTTTAGTGCCTTGTTTGGTTTTTTTGTGTTGATGGCGTTGTTGTTTTCGGTGCAGGACTTTGAGAGGACGCTGGATAGTGTGTATGGGCAGCCGGTGTTGCAGATCTTGGTGGATGTGGCGGGCGAGAATGGGGCGTTGGGGTTGTTTTGCTTGATTATGGGTGAGTTGTTGCTTTACGTCCCTTTGCTTTTGAGATGGGCTGCTGACTTTGGTGGAGTCTGCGTGTGGCATTGCGGGCTGTTCAGTATGACGAGCAACAGCAGGATGATGTTTGCATTTGCTCGTGATGGCGGGATTGTAAGACTCCCCTGATTTTACCCCTGAACCGACGGACATCGCTGCTGACTCTTCACTAGCATCCTTTCTTCCACAAGGTTGATGTCCGGTTCCGGTCACCGATCCGCGCCGTATGGTTGTCGGCCACGCTATCCCTTCTGCCTTGCTCTGCCTTCACTTGGATCAAGCGTTGCGTTTGCGGCAGCCACTTCAATAGCGACCATCGGCCTCTATCTATCTTACGGAATCCCTCTCTTCATCGGCTTGGTCTGTCACCAGTCCTTCACGGCAATGAAGGGGCCGTTCAACCTCCACGTCCTGTCCAGGCCGACCGCGGCTGCAGCCTGTCTGTGGATTTTATTTATCACGGTAGTATTCTGCCTGCCCACGGCCAACCCCGTCACCAGTCAAACGTTGAACTATACAGTTGTTGCCGTTGGAGTTCTGACCATCTTTGCCGTCGGCTCCTGGGTACTTTGGGCACATCGGTGGTTTACAGGGCCCTCTGCGGAGGTGGCAGAGGCGATGAGACAGGGCATTGACATTACCGAGCCAGGTGCATTCGAAGAGGGGGAGAAACGTGAAAGCAACGAACCGGGAGGAAAGTCATCAGACTAGATATGTTAAATAACACCATGAAGCTAAGTATTATCGGCACTGGATGGGAAGCATTGGGGTTTGCGGCTGCTGGTCGACAAACTGGGAGCAAGGTGACTGGTGTTTAAAGCCGCTCGAACCTCGCCACCTCCCAAGAGCAACACTGAACTGTCGTAAACGCTGTTAACTAGCATTAACGACCAGTTCCTACCCATCGGGCATTAAAAATACAGCCGGCGTCTACTTTGGGGCGGAGTTTGAGTCCAATGTTGCCAGTTAGAAGTCAGTAAGGTACAGAATCATCAGCTGAACCAAAGGAATGGTAGAGGAACAAGGGGACTGCGGCATGATATAGATCAACACTGGCTCTCCACTCCCTTCTCTGAGCACGAACTTTCCCTTAAGTAGATGCGAGGGTTGAACACGCAATTTATGGATGTTTATGTTCTTGTGTATGGGAGTAGCTGGGGGGTGACGATGAAATGTAAAAAAGATCCAGAGGTTGGGGGAAGGAAGCGCAAGAGCGGAGGAAGGCGAGTTGACATAGTTGGGGGACTGGGCGAGGCCCGAAAGGACTGACGATGGAATAAAAAAAAAAGATTACTCCGTATCGCTGGTGGCATGTCAGGGAGGGGGTGGGGGCTCCATCCGAGTGGGCTTGAGGGGATGAGGGGTTAAATCTTCGGATGAAACTGGCTTTCGCATCAACCAACATTCAACCGTCCTGATTTGTGTCATAAATCTGTGAACCCACAAGCTAGTAGACGAGTCTCGCCGTTGGTGAACAATTTGCACTCGTGAGACAATGGATGGTGGTTGAACATGATCACAGGGGTGGCTGGTTGTGAGGGGTTCAACCCTTCAACGGTCTTGAAACTTACAGACCCACAGCTCTGCGTTACAGTTCATTCAGATTCGGCTGCCAGATCAGAATTTTCTGTGCGTAATGGTTTCACGTAAATACATGAAAAGAAAGACGCCGGGAAAATTAGTGTACATTTCTGAAAACCTTTCCGGGGTCTTCAGTCAGCGTCGCTGGCATTGATGACGGCATCTCAACCATTTTTCTCCCCAACAACCCCCTTGTCAGATGACCATGGCTTCCGAACCCGACGGCAGTACAATTTACCTGACTGAAAAGGAGGCAGAGCGCATCCGAACCACGGTCATAGGCAATACCAAAAAGCGTGCGGAAGTGACCGGCCATGCTCGCACCCCGAGAGAGGCCAAAGATGCCATCGGCCAAGCCACCGGCGCCGCCCTCATGGCCGACATGGGCAGTATGACAACCCAACAAGAGAGCATGCCCGCTCTCGCCGTCGGAGACCCCTACCCGCCATGCATTGTTTCTTCATCAGAGCTGCAGCCGATGAAGCTGGCTGATCTCCGCATGGAAACACACCATCGCGGATTCCAGCTGCGCATCAAGCGAGCCAGCCCCGTGGTCACACTCTCGACCAGATCCTGGACCATGGTTCAAGACGACGCCGAAGAGACGGAACGTCTCGAAATCGTTCTCCACAACACCCGCCACGGCAAAGACATCCTCGAGTCCTCCAAAACCTTCACCATCAAAGAGCCCTACTTCACCCTCACCGAAGAAGGCGAGCCCACCCTCCGCATCGACCACCCCTCCGACCTCCTCACCCACCCCCCTCCCGACCAACAACCCCCGACCCAACCCCCCACTCCAGAACAAGCCTCCAAGCGCGCCATCGCCCACAAACAAAAAGGCAACACCGCCCTCACCAAAAACGACCCCGCCCTCGCCTGCGCCTGGTACACCGCCGCGCTGGCCCTCCCCGCCACCGCCTCCGACCTAACCCGGGACCTGCACCGCAACCGCGCCCACGCCAACCTCCTGCTCGGGCAGCACGACGCCGCGCACCGTGACGCCCTCGCCGCGTTGATCAACAGCGCGGATGGCGACGACGCGCGCTCGCGCGAGCTCGACGCCAAGTGCTATTTCCGCGCGGGCGCCGCGGCGTACGCGCTGGGGCGGTTTGCGCAGGCGAAGGAGATGTTTGAGGCGCAGGTGAAGCTGATGCCGGGGGATAGGGGGGCGGCGGCGAATGTGGGGGAGGTGTGGGAAGCGGGTGGGGGAGGAGAGGGAGGGGGGGCATGATTTGGCGGCGGTGAGGGTTGGGTTGGTCAGGGGGGATGGGAGGGTGGATGTGGCGAGTTGGGAGGGGGCGGTGGAGGTGCGGGAGAGTGGGGTGGGGAGGGGGCGCGGGTTGTTTGCGAGGAGGGAGGTGAAGGCGGGGGAGGTGGTGATGTGTGAGAAGGCGTTTTCTGTGGTTTGGGGTCATGAGGAGGGCGCGTTGACGGCGGTGACGTGCGATGTGCGCGATGAGAGGATTCGGGTGGCGCCTGTGGGGTTGAGGAGGGCGGTGGTGGAACGGTTGATGAACAATCCGTCTTTGATTGGGGATGTGATGGGCTCGTTTGGAGACTGGGATGGCGGTGAAGGGAAGGAGGTACACGAAACGGGCGATGGGCCGGTTGTGGATGTGTTCCGGGTGCATGACATTATATCGAGGAACGCTTTTGGTGTGGGGGGTAAGGATGGACAGGGGAGCCAGGGCGGTGGTGCTGGGTTGTGGCCTTGGGCTGCCCTCATCAACCATTCTTGTATTCCCAACTCGGAGAGGGAGTTCGTTGGTGACTTGATGGTCATCCGGGCAACGAAGAACATCGCCAAGGGAGAAGAGATCGTCCACAGTTACGACGAGTCAGGGGTGTACGACGACAGGCAGCGGGCGCTGATGACTACATGGGGCTTTGAGTGCAGCTGTGCTCTATGTGCCGTGGAGAAGGCGGAAGATCCAACGGTGCTGGAAAAGCGCAGAACGCTCACCAAGGAGGTATATGCGTTCTTGAAGTCCGTTGGTTCCTCGGCCAACAGGAAGTTGGCGACTAGCAAGGCCAAGAGGCTGGCGAAAACGATTGATGAGACTTACGACGAAAAGAAGTACCGGGGAATGCCCCGTTTGGCAAAGAAAGGTATTGAACAGTGGCTTGCTACCACCAGTCGACGATGATAGCTGTCGGCCTCGGCTGTCTGGAGGAGCCAGAAAATGAAAAGCGATTAAGGATAACTATACAAAACGTTGAAACACCGAGTCCGTTGTCGAAAACGCGCGACTTCTCCCTTGGGTCTCGCGCCCTAGCATACCACGTTCCCATGTTCCCATGTATCCATGGCGTCGACAAGCAGTTGATACATGGGGCCGTGCCGCCAGTGATTTGATGACTCTTTAATCAAAATCCTACCCATGTTGGTGACCTTGTTATTTTCGTTCGTACCCTTGTGGCTCCCTTCCAACAGGGTTGAACAAGGTCTGCGCGGTGGTGTCTGAATGGGGCGCTGCCTGCTTGGCGGAATCATGGATCAGCTCGAAGGATTCGTTGCGATGAAAGCTCGAGCGAATAAGGGCTGGTTACCCAACACCGAGTTTGGTACTGCGCGACGTCCTCCTAGGCTCGTACTGCATGGAAGTCAAGGATAAGACCAGCGGCTAAGCCACCATGCCCCCAGCTTGACCCTCCTCCTCATCGGTTTAGCCAAAATTCCAACCTTGCAACTATTTCAACACCGTTATTCCATTCGCGAACGACTGACTGACTGGCATCTATCTTTCCGCTCACCCTAGCGCCAATGAGTACCTCAAATACACCTTCGCGCGAGGAGCAACTCGCGGTAATGGCCGCGCGGGTCGAAGAAGTGCAGAAGCAGCACTCTTCGGTCGATCTCAAAGTCGAAGAGAAGTGGTGGGTGCCGACCGTGGATTTCGGAATCTACTTGAAGGTACCTAAACACGGACTCTTTTGACTTCCTGATCTTGTGAGTTCTGCGTGAATTCAACGCTAATAAAGAGTTTATTTAGGATTCTCTTCCCCAAGAAGTCGGCGCTCGATTCAACGAAATCGTTGGGAAACTCGTGCGGGATAAATTCTCACCGGAGGCCTTGGCCGAGGCGCACCAGCAGTCACGGGAACTGTTACAGACAGATTACCCAGAGGCACTGCAGAAGTCTGAAGAGATGATCTTTAACCACGGAACACAATTTGCCGAAATAAACCGGTATTTGAAGGGAGTCGATGGTGCAAACGAGTCGGTCGAGAAGAAGGAGTCGTAGCGCGCTGGCAGGGGTTCGAGATGAGTGATTTACAGTTCTGTGTTTTGGCGACTACCATGAATGTATATCCCAAATACCAATACGATAGCCCTGTCAGGTACCTTGAACTGAATCCAATATCTCGCAATATTAACCGCTAACTAGTTTATAATGACATGCTTACAAAAGATAACCCTAACTACCACATCCATCCGAGACCTCCCACAACCACTCCCCCAACTACCCCCTCATCCCCCCCCCTCCACACCCACCCTCGCCTGCGCCCTCGCGCACTCCCACACTACCCCACCCATCCCCTCCCCAGCCTCCTTAAACCACCTCCTGACCTGTTCCCCCCTCCCAGCCCCCTGCCCCCACACCCAATTGAGCACCTCGCCCGCCCTGACCGGCCCGTCGGGCGCGCAGCGCTCTTCCCACGCGCGGTGCCGGACCGCCCACTCCTCGGCGGTCGGCGCCTCCCAGACGTCGGGCGGGCAGGGCAGCGGGGAATCGGGGAACATGGCGCATAGGGCGCCGGGGAGAGACTGGCGCGCGTGCGTGACGTGGTCGAGGGCGTGGAGGGTCAGGAAGCATCTGGTGTTGGGGGGTTGGGGTTAGTTGGGGGTCTTTGGTGGAGTGGAGAAGGGTTGGATGGTGGAGGTGGTGTAAGTAGGGGCTGAGGTGGAGGGTTCCAAGGGCTGTGCGGGTATAGGTACATACCTGCGTAAGGTCTCGGTCTGGATCCATAATTCCCAGTCACTTGATGTGACGTTGGTGTACGGTGGGATGTAATGCATGTTTTTACTGAGTACGTGCTGATGGGAAGAGGGTTGTTACTTGGTGTTGTGTGGGGCAACTTAGAGAAAGAGTTCCGGCTCCATACCTGCATCAACCTCAGGGGAACTCTATCGATGCATTCCGAGGCTGTAGGTCCTGACCGGTAAATGCGCATCATTGAGTACAAAAGAACAGCCTGCGTCATGGAGACATCATCGGCTCGCGTTTGTGTTGTTATCTGCCCTTGTTTGTTAATTCTAGCGTTGTAGGCGGGAGACTCAGCACTTAGTTACATTCCGCTGAAGTGAAACCAGCTGGGTATTGATGGATCGTAAAAGCACAGCATCAGATTGCGGTGTCACCATCGCATAGAGATGGGCAACTGCCGTGGCTTCAACAAGAACTAAAGGACGGCGGTCGTGGTCCCAATTCCGGTGGTGGATAAAGGGGCCCGGGCGAAGCCCCAGAGCCACGCCATCCACATAGGATTTGAGAACCTGGTCAACAAGATCGAGGCCCTGTTCAGCAGTTGCCGACTTCTCGAAGGGATAAATGCTCGAATACTGAAAGCTATTCCCGGCCAAGCTCTGTGTGATCCCTTGAGGGTTGTTCGTTGCGGATGTGGGCTCAGGTGCAACATTGGAGGTAAAACTCTGGACACGGCCCTGGCCTTCGTCAGACGCGTAAAGCGGTGTCTGCCAATCCCACGCCTCATTTGACACCCAGCTCGGTACGGAGAATGGGTTTAGTGAATCAGTTAGATCTGGCCCTTTGTCGGGAGCCAATGTCCAGAATGTGTCCGGTGGAGTCAAGGATGGAGCCAAAGGGATCTGCCCTGCGCCGAGTGACACCATGGAGGGTCGGCTGGAAGATGGAGCCGGACTTCCGCCTTCCTTCTGGTATGCGCATAACAAGCCGTGAATTGAACACCTAGAACAAGCCGGTAGTCCTTGGTCGCAACGCACCTTGGAGCGTGAACACTCGGCGCAAGCCTTCTTCCGGCTCCTCGGCCGAGATCTGCATCGCAGGCGGTGACGGCCGAGTACGGACACTATGATGGTCAATGCAATGGCCTTGAACACAGGATGAGCCACAAGGCCGCGCTGGGCAGGGGGTTGGTCATCAAGGGACGAGGGTCCGTACCGGAGGAATAAGTCCGCCCGCAGCTGCTGCAGGCTAGCGGGTCCATGATTAAGCAGGTAGCACAGAGACAGATCCAAGGCTTAGTACACGTAGGGAATGGGCTGATGTCGCTTGTGTTGTTGTTCGAGCGCGAGGACTCGAGCACGGCTTGGATTGGTGAACGAGGCTCTCCCCTGTGATGTCGGAATTCCGACACTGGACAAGTGGGATACTTGGCGGGCCCGCAAAACTGGGTACTCCTATTCCTCTTGAGGCGTCTGCCTCACACCTCTGTCGGGACTCCAGCAACTAGATCCCACGGGAGCTATGGGAGAGGTTTGTCACCCAAGAGGCAAGAGCACGGCCAGTTATGGAGTGGAGTTGATGGACCATGATGATCTTGTCACGTTGATATAATGTCACCGTGGAACGCACTGGTGGTATTAAATGAGTGCCTGTATTGCACTCGGATACTTTCCATTGTCAGTCGTTCATGTAGACTTGCTTCACCCCTTCCTAAAACAATCTACCACGCCAAAGCCTGTTACCACATCATGGCGGGCACCGTTATCATCACCGGCGCCAACGGCTCCCTCGGGCTGGGCTTCGTCCAAGCCCTGCTCACTTCCCACCCCGAATACACCCTAATCGCCACAGTCCGCAACCCATCCCCGGAGCAAGACCCTCACACAGCCCAGCTCCGTAAACTGCTTTCTTCGCACCCCAAGTCCCGAACCCATCTCGAGACCCTCGACCTCGGCCGCCTCGCAGACGTCCGGGCCTTCACAGCCCGCATCGCCCACCAAGTCGCCGCCAACAAGCTGCCTTCCATCTCCGCCATCGTCTGCAACGCCTTCGCCTGGTCGCTGCACGGCCAGCAGACCACGCCAGACTCCTACGAGGTCACCTTCCAGGTGTCGCACCTCGCCCACATGCTGCTGGTGCTCCGCCTGCTCGGCAGCATGGACACGGCCGGCGGCGGGCGCGTCGTGCTGCTCGGGTCCGAGGCGCATGATCCACGGTCTAAGGCGCGAGCTGGGTTGCCGGAGGGGGATTATATGGAGGGTCTGGTGCACCCGCCGCCGGATGGGGTGGGGGAGGTGTATGAGAGGGGGTTTCGGCGGTATGGGACGGCGAAGTTGGCGAATGTGACGTTTATGCATGATTTGAATGCGCGGTTGGTGAGGGTGAGTGGGTCTTTTGGTTGGTGTTGTGGTTGAGTTTGGAAAAATCAGGGGGGATGGATGGGAATGCTGACTGTGGCCGCCTTGAGCGAATAGGATACGAGACTGTCGTCGATCACGGTAACCGCCATGGATCCCGGCGGACTGGTTGGGTCGAGGGCGCATGCCGAGCAGAACGCTATCATGAGGCGGGCTTTTGGGGTCATTAATGTCCTGATGCCCGTGGTGAGGCACTTGACGACTGTGGTGAGGACGACGGCAGACGCGGGCCGGGATTTGGTGGCGTTGAGTGTTGGTTCAGAATTTAAGGGAAAAAGAGGGTATTTTATCGCGCAGAAGGAGGCAGCCTCGGCCGAGGTTAGTCGTAACCCGGCGATGCAAAAGAAGTTGTGGGATGCGTGCTGGAAGTGGGCGGGCTTGTCGGCCGAGGAGACGGTGTTGGCAGTGGATACTGCCGGCCGTTAGGTGAGAAGGGAAGTATGGAATCAAGCCCTAGGGAGATTGTTTGGAAGTTACCATACCCGTGGGAGGTGGGTAGAACAAAAAGAGGAATTTTCCGCAAAATATTGCCCGGGTTTAAAAAGAAACGTTGTTTTATTTGAAACATGGAATAACCCCCCCCCCCCCCCCCTTTGTGATCTCCCGGTTATAGACTTGGGATCGCCAAGATTCACATACGAACAAAAAAATGGGAAGGGAAGGGCTCCTGTCAAGATTACAGTGTTAGGACCACGCCTTTGGCGTGTGGTCGCCAAGGCGTAATCAAACCCCCTGAGGTGGACCCAGGGGACCAGATGCGGTATTTTTCAGGATCAGACGCCTGCCCACAGCTGTTTGAACAAGACACAGAAATCACAACGGTGGCACTGCAGTAATCTGTAGTCGATCATCAATCGAGTCAACAGGACGTAATTACACTGTCTTCGCTACGTGTGACTGTCCCATCTCGGTATCCGTGGCTGTAGGTTTTCCAACAGCTCCCAAGCACCCACGAAATACTATCAAGCACCCAGCTATACCTAATCGGGATAACTAATCATTTTTCGTTTTACCAGTGACGGACCGTCAGCTCGCGTAACGTATGTAATTCACGTAAAACAGGGCTAACAGGGCCAAAAGTTCCGAGATTCCCCCAATGGCACAGCAAAATCATCATGTCGATTGACGTTGTTGTGACTTGAGAACTCTCCTTCAGGCACCTCTAGCAGCCACTTGCCGTCAGGTAGCGGCTTGGCTGTCAGTCAGAACTTGCAGCCGGTCATCTGGGTGCTGGACTTCCTCCGCTTGCTCTCGTGAATTTCGGAGGAGCCTTGTACTTGCGAACCTTGGCACATCTGAACTTGTATTTGAGTCCGTTTTTCCCATTCTTGACGATGCTATAGCCGTGTGCCTGTCCGTGAGTGCAGATATCTTGAAACAGGTCGTCTAGGCTCTCGTAGATCTTGACGGGTGGCGGCGGGCCGCACGGTCGAGGGATGGTTCCCTGGAATGCTCTGTCATGGCAAAGGTACCTATTCTAGAAGTGCATCGAGAGGGTCAGTTTGAGCCCCTAAGCATAAAAGAAATGGCAGCGTACCGGCGTGAGGGCATTACATGAAGAGATCGGGTTGTCGATGTCACTGGGTCGTCGACAATTTTGCTGCTGCTTCGGCGCTGTTGATCTCGAAGCGACTTTGCGGAAGTCACGCAATGATATGGTAAGCTGGGCCAGGTGACAGCGGCCCGAAATTTTGGTATTGGTGATTCACTCGGACGTATGGAAAAAACGATTATCCCGATTGGGTATAGCTGAGTGCTTGATAGTATTTCGTGGGTGCTTGGGAGCCCTTCCCGTGAGAAAACAGATGCAGGAAGTCCGGAAGGAGATGCAGGAGGTCCAGAAGGAGTTACAAGAGGCCCGGAGGGAACTGGAGGATCAGAGAAAGAAGGAAGCGCCTGCACCAGCAACAACGGCCATATCGAGTGGTATCTCCAACCCCGTATTCGCGCGTGACCTAATTTGAATAGGGAAGCCCTTGACGATGACTGCACGATCGCCGAACATGCCGTGCCAGCAGCACCCGCCAGCGGCGTCTGTTTTGACGTCCGGGCCCATATTGAAGTCAATCACGCAAGTATAGTTAGTACTTCCCCCAATCCTGTCGCAATTCAAGTCCACACCAGAGTCTACCTGTGAGGATCGACTCTTCAGCCATTTCAAAGGCTATACATTATCTGAGCGCATTGAAGAAACGCGGTCATGGATTTGGCGCTTTGGCTACGATATCCAGAACGCGACAGAACGAAGATGGGTCTGCCGAGCTTGTAATTAGCAAGCAGAACCGCCCCCAGCCGACTTGTATAAAGTCAGTCGGTATTCAAAACGCTATGGGACATATTTTTCTTGTTTACCACATCCACGCGCCTGAGAGCTCCTTGCTTTGAGGTGTTCTGTCAAGCTCTATCCTGCGGTGGTTCACAACTTTGCCGATACGCTTCGCATCTATCCCACTAAGGGCCAGGTCGTCGAGTGCAACCACCAACACATGCTTGGCATGGACAGCCCCGCCATTCAGGTCGAGGTAAAGCACGATGGTGTTGGTGCGGAGAAGGTTGAATCCTCAAATGCCGGCAACTTGGCCAAGCGCTTGCCCTTGTGTGTTGGTTGCAGGGTGATGCTGACGCGGGATTTGTGGGCCGACGTCGGGCTCGTCAACAGCGCACAGGGCACAGTCTACAACATATCCTGGAAAGAAGGTGTCGACGTGCTACGAGACCGGCCCGAGCTCATTATGGTGGCCTTCGACCACTACGACGGCCCGGCCTTCACGATATCAAACGGGGAGCCGCTCCGTAGTGGGGAGAAGCTGGTTGTCCCCATCCTCCGAGTGCGGCAGGACTTCATGGTCGGCGCCAACTCATGTTCAAGAGAGCAGTTCCCGCCGTTGGTCAGCTATGCGATCACCGTCCACAAGTCACAGGGAATCACCTTGGACAAGGTCGTCTGCGATATCTCTGCGCCAGAGTTTGCTTCTGGTCTCTCCTACGTGGCCGTGTCGCGGGTGAAGACACTCGGCGGGCTGATGTTTGAGTGGCCCTTCGACCGCAGCAGGGTCTACCGCGAGACACCATCACGAGCTATGGGATTGAAGTTGCTGGATCATGCTATCACGCAACTGCAGGCGTTAGACGCTGTGGCGGGGGAGGATCCCTTAGGGTTAAGTGGGTTTATAACTAGCGACGACGAGAGTATAGAGGTATGAGTACTGAGAACGATAATAGAAATGATTGGCATAAGTGTGATAAGAAGTTTAAGTAGATGGAATGGAGTTGTTGGCCGACGGACAGATACTGGCGTTTCGTCTCTCCCGTATCCAACCCTAACCCGGATTGTCCTCCGGAGAGGGACAGGAAAATTGCCAGGAGCGGGAGAGAGGAAGGAAGCGCACCGTAGCGCAGCGAAGGGCCGCGCGACTGACGAGCGAAGCAACGTGTCAGAATACGGGATTCACTGGTCTAATCAGGCAATCAAGTATGGTTGTTTCAGCGCTTGTTGCGTGTCCCTTTTATTATTGTGTTCGGTGTGTCTTTTTTGGTTTTTACCCGTTGAGATGAGAGGTTAGTTAAGCTAAATATGCCCCGTTTACGTTATATCCGAAGCCTCCACCCCGATATTCTGACACAACGTCAGCAATTTTAAACCAGAACATATGGGCAAGTGCCAGAATGTGGGCGGTCTGCCATGCGGGGCACGCAGTGCCCCACACAACAGTTCCTCCAAGTACAAAGAGGTTTCATGCCCTAGAATAATAAGGTCGACAGCTGCTTTTGAGCCATCAATTTCCTCGCCAACAACCTCTTTATTTAACCATCAACGGCAGTGAAGGGTTTGGCGACCATGGCACCCATAGATTACTCGAAATGGGACAACATAGACACAGATTCCGAGCCAGAGGTGTCGTCTACCCAGGTGCCCGCGCCTAAAGCCACCCAGCCACCTGCCCCAACCACCCCACGGTCGCAGTCGTCCGCATCCACTCCGATGGCAACGCTGCAAACACACGACGCTCCGGGGTCCGCCCAAGTCCAAGCTGTCATTATCCGGTGCAGCGTCGATAAAATCAGATCTCCGCCTTGGTCCGCGACCACAATCTCCGCCGACCATCCCGTTTTCTCGCAGGCCGTCCCTTCCCTCCCGGGGCTCATCGGGATCCCGCTGGTCGTCCACCGCGTAGGAACGCGGTCCGCCAACCTCGCTGACCTCGACAACCAGATCGCCACGTACCTCAACATCGACCCCGACTCCGGGTTTGCGCCCCCGGCATGGCAGTCACATGTCGGCACCGTCGTGGCCGCGCGCAAGGACAAGAAGCCGTTACTGCCGCACCATCTCGAGGGTGTGTGGATGTACTGCGACTACATTCTGGACCTCTTTGGGGAGGGAGAGGGGGCGCCGACACGGTTGTATAGTCGGCAGGCCTTTGAGAAGTGGTGGGGTGATTACTGTGAGGAACAGAAACAGTTTCGGACGGGGGATGGAGGTGAGAAGGATCCGGATGACTGGCGGGCGGTAAGGTCGCCATATGAAATGTGAGACTTCCGCCAGGACCGGTGTCACGGATATGCCAACAAGTGGAACCCCGGGGGCGCGGGACGCCCCGAGCCAATCATTAGCAACCAAACAGGAGGCAACGGAGTGGTCAAGGAGATCAGTGAGCTCAGTTGCCAAGGACAGACTGAGCACACTGAGCACCAGGACAGGGCCACCAATAAGGAGCCGGGATGGCTCAACATTGATCAGTGAGCTCAGTTGCCAAGGGCATACTGAGCACACTGAGCACTCAGGAATCAGCTAGTATATAGCCACTCGTTCTGGAGAGCTCTGGGAGTTCTCCAGTTAGCAATCACAACTACAGTTCGCTACAAGCTCGAGAGCCTACTGTTGAGACAAGTCTTTGTTGTGCACCCTTTGGCTGCACCGAACCTAAGCACCCTTTGCAAGATTACCTTCGACCGAAGCTGAACCCTAACAGGACAGGGTCCTGAAGTAGGTTCGTCACACCATCCGCGGCTTCCTCGATCGTCAAATGCAGTAGCGGGGGAAGACCCCCTGATGAATCGCTGTGTCAGTTTGTCCGGTCGGATTCATCCCAATTTCAACGCGGGAGAGGGAGCATACCAGCTTTTTTTGCGCCCATGATCTTTCGCTGGGAGCGGGAGAACGCTTGTGAAGATGAGCTCCGTAAAAGAGAGAGTGTGGTCATGAACAAAAGCCCGCCCAGCAATAGTACGGCAAATCTCTGGTATTCCCAGATATTCATGTGTTGGGTAACTTGTTGCCAGTTGTTGGGGATTGATGCGAGGGGAAGGAAGGAAGGTCCGGGAAATGTGTGCCCCGGAAAACTGGCTGCAATGGAGAAACGGGCACGCGATAAAACGGGCGTAAAGTTTTACAACATCACGCACGGGGTTCCAGCTCAGTTCAGGTGCTAGAACAACCTTGGCCGTTCCTTCCACACCGGTTACCTACACAATACGCAATGCTGAGGAAAGCCAGCGAGGTTCGGTGAGACAGACACCTTTCGCTTCATTGCGTGCCCTAGTCGATGTTAACATGCCCGTCTCTGCCAGTCAACCCAGTCGATCCGTCGCTTGGAATAAAGAGCACATCGACTAGATCGCAACGAAGTTAACTAGGTCTTTCCAAACTCCATTCACCGTCAGTGGCAGCAAGTAATCTGCTTGCAACCTTCTTTTCCATCTGTCACGAGACGCCGACATGCCGACGCCGCACTGGCAAATCCAACGCCGCAAGGACCAGTCGCCCACCGTCCTTAAAAATTCCAGAAACTTCTGGCAATGACCCAAAGAAGCGGGCTTAAACCTCACTTCACTCAACCCTCCATCCCCAGAGTTCATCCAGCGACAATTGAACCTGTGGTGTGCGCTGACGCTTATCGTCGTTGATCCCGCGCTCCTGATCATCGATCTCCAGAACTAGCATCTCCATAAAGTCCTGGAAAACGACAGGTTCAAGATTAACCGTGCCAAAGACACCATTCTGCAATATGCTATTTTGGCGGCGCGCGAGGACGGCATCCGGATCATCTCGGTGACCACTGCCTACGTGTACTCGGACGAGGATATGACGGCAATAGATCCAGGCGTCTTCACACATGACGAATTGTTTTCCTAGTGACAGGCTCTAATAAACACCAGACTGAATAAATGCCTAACAGGGACCAGTACCCCTGAAATCTTCTACAGATGGCAACCACCCCCAAAAGTTCTTACATATCATACCACCAACACACCCCGCGGGTAGCACTCTAACAACCCTCTATCTTAACCCCAGAGACCTTGCACGAAGTACCATCCGGGCCACTCCCCACCTTGGTAGGCTCCTCTCCGCTCTCATTACCCTCATACAACCAGCAATCCGCACCGTCGAGGAGGCACGAGTCCGAGATGGTCGTGGTATCGCCATAGTTGATGTTGATGCCCGCCACCACCTTGGCGCCGTCGACGCGGATGTTGGTGAAAGTTGAGTGGCGCTCCTGCATCGAGTCGCAGTTGCCGCACGACCGGTACACCTTCCCGACGTCGCTGGCGAAGAAGTTCTTGACCGCCACCGTGCCGCCGCCATTGTGCTGGAGTACCTTGTCGGACGCGCCGCGCGCGCCGCCGCCGTTGACGTACGAGGTTCCCGAGGACTGGAGGAAGGTCGCGGCGTCTTCGCAGACTTTAGTCCACCAGCTGTGCGGCTTGTTAGTTCCCGTGGTTTCGGTGGGATGGGTCTGGGGTGGGTAGGGGAACATACATGTTGTTGAGCGTGCAGGTGCCCTTGCAGTGGATACCCTCGCCGTTGTTGGGTCCGATAATGACATTGCTTAGGGTGGCGCCCTCCTCGAGAATGAAGACGGCGTCCTTGTCACCGGTTTCGGTCTGATCTTGGCAGGTCGACGGGCTGCGATCCCACTCAGCCATCCCGCCATCGAAGGTCTCACCTGCGGCAATTGTGCGGACCGCAGGCAATGCAGTTGAGCTGGCGGCCGTAGGGAACTGGGTCTGGAGTTCGGTGTTGGTCTGGCCAGCCACAAGGGCGGCGGAGAGAAGAACAGCGAGAGCCGGCGAGTGCATTGTTACTGAGACTTGATCAAGAGTGGAAACCTGAACGTAATGTTGCTGGTATCTTCAAAAAGCAATCTTGAAGCCAAGGCCGTGACATCTACGTATGCTTTTATAGATATTAACAGCTACCAGCAACCGCGTCATTGCTTTGCGAACGCCGTATTGACCTGGCATCTTTGCGGTTTATCCTTCCCTGAAATGGACGACGGCCGCCCTGGCGGTTTCAACTTGAGAGATCCACTGACGGTGATCGTCTCGTGGCCAGGGGTATGATCCGGGATTTGCTATCCCCAACGGTCCCCTGAGCCAGTACCGAGACGCCGGAAAAGCGCATAGTCCAGAACCCTGCATATCTTCAGGTAGTCTTGAAATCGTGTTGTGGGATGTTGTTTCTACACGAATGATGCCTCGTGGCTGGATCATCGCAGATCAACGGGAACCTGGCGGGAGATTTTCCACACGAAGCCACGATCGAACCCCTCGATGATCACCGGTCCTGCGTCTCTTTGTCACCACAAACGCTGACCATTTCATGCTCAAGGCGACGGATACACCGGTGATCTTCGCAGCGCTGCCGGAAACGGTGCCCAGCCTTCGAATGCAAACAACAACCTCCTGGAATATGCGTCGGGGCAGTGGGCCCGAGCCCGGTGAGAGATTGCGTCGAGAGCCGAGAGATGCAACGTCTTGGCACTGCTATTGGACTCTGTTGGTGGGATTTCTTGGGCCCGGGGGATCTGGATGAGCAAAAAGGGAGACGGAGCCTGCCCGGACCGCAAATGAGCAACACCAGCTCAGGCCAGGAGAAACATGTCCCAGTGTTGACAATATGAATGGACTCTAGAGAGTCAGCGTGAGCTGCGTTCGACAGGAACCCGAACCCAACTTCTTGATTACATGGAGGTACTAGGTAGGTTACAGGTATCTATTTACGGTCCTATTCTATCATGGGCAATACCCATCGTTCTCATGAATCCCCGTTGCGAACATGAGATCGGCCAGAACAATAATTCATTACCTCATCCTCTCGTCAACATGACCGCCACCCGCCGTTGATAAGGCTTCTGAGCATACAAGCCTCGGTAGTCGGGCGGCACCTTCTCATCCTTCAACCACGCCCTCATAAGCCTGGACGCTCTAATGAAAGCCTCCCGGCCGCAATATCAACGCCACCAATTTGAACCGACCCCTTTACTCCTGATGTAGGGCAGTATTGGCGGTTGACTTCGGGGCAGGGACAAGTAGCCAAGTCACAGCGGCAGCGACGTACAGGCCGACAAGAATCGGTTGCAGAACAGCCACACCAACATGAGTGGCCAGGATGCCGGTGACGATGGGAAAGGCAGAGCCCCCGACTTGTCCGATGACGAACACAAAGGGTAAGGCCGTGGATTGGATCGCCGGCGGGAACAGCTTCGAGGCTACGGATATGCCCTGGCGAGGTTGTCAGGACTCTGGTGGGCAACGAAATAAGGGCGTTAGGGATAGTGGGTGTTGACCTACAGTAGCAAAGAAAGGACCGGAGAAAAAGCCGAGGAAGCTGACTGCAACGGAAGCGGCGATGATATTCGGAACCCTGGGGGTGAACGGTAAGCCTGGTATCCTCAAGCCTCAACGAGTGCGTATAGAGGGTATCTGTGAAAGCAAAAAGGGGAGACTCACAGCCAAAACAACAACTGCAACCCAACGCACAGCACAGCGTAAATAAACACCATCTTGCGCTCACCGAACCTCTGCGTAGGCTCCGCCAGCAGCAACCTCCCCAAAAAACAGCCACCGTTAAAGCCCGCCGGCACGTAGCCCATCTGCGCCAGCTCACCACCCCGCACAACAACCAGGTACTCGACCAGCCACCCGCCCACCGTGACGGCAGCACCAAGAAAAAAGAAAAAGAACAGACTCAGAATCCACACGCTCGGCGTCGTGAGCGTGGTCTTGATGAGGTCCATAGCGGTGACATTCTTCGAGCCCGCCCTCGGCGATTCCTGGCCCCCCTGCCCACCACTGCCAGCATTAGCATCATCCGACGACGATGACGGCGCACGCGCTACGCGACCGACGTTGGCGCGGAAAGCGACAAAAACCATCGCAATATTGGCGATGCCCAGCGCGAGCGGGAAGGTATAAAACAAGTACCAGCGGGAGACGGTCCCCGCGGAGGCGACGGCGGTGGCGACGAAGGGCCCGACCAGGCAGCCCGCCATGTACATGGCGTGGATGAAGCCCAGCCAGCGGTGGGCGCCGGGGACGCGCGAGACAAAGGTGTTGGCGTGCGTGTCCTGGTAGGCCTGGCCGACGGTGATGAACCAGAAGGAGAAGACGAGCAGGCCGAATGGCGGGTCCCACACGCGCAGGGCATGGCCGATCAGCTGGCAGGCGGCGCCGAGGGCGAGGAGCGCGCCGAAGTCGAAGTATTGGCAGAGGTGGGTGTTGGTGATGGCGGTGAAGAACCAGCCGAAGAAGTTGGCGGCGAAGCTGAGGGTGAATGCTTGGTGGTTAGAGGAGAGTTTCTCCGTTTCTGCCAAGGCCTAATGTGGCCCTCTAATAAATAGCTCGGGCTATGTGTGAGCGTGACTTACATGGCGGAGACGGTAGTCGTGTTGATGCCATACTGGCGCATGAAGTAGGGGACTAGCGGCCCCGTGCTTCCGTCATTGACGCCCGCAACGAAGAAACAAAACCCGGCGCTCATCAACTTGATAAGCGTGGCACGGTCAAATTTGGGCTCGCTAGGGGGCGCATCTTCGACCGGTCCGGTACTCTTCGGTGACACTACTGGTCCGTGCCGGGCGGTCTGGCAATTGGACGAGTTTCAATCTCATGTCTCTCGATAGTTTGGGTTTGAGTTGCCATGGTCTAGTCTAAGCCGGCAAGTCGGCGGGAACAATCGATGAATGTCCGTGGATGCATTCGGTATTCTTGGTCCTCAAGAACAACAGATCGAATGTTGGGGGCGCTCGAGGATATCTAAGCTGCGGAGACGGTTATTATTCTTACGAAACCTGAATTGAATTCTCGATCCGATGATCAAGCGAAGAATCCCCGATCAAAAGGCTTTGCGGCCCGCAGCCCCGGATCCCTGTTCTTGTTGGTCTTCCCGACGAGCGGTGGGAGATACTGAGACACAAAGTCGGTCACAAATGCGCCCCGTTCAGGACACCACGGTAGCCCACAATAGGTGCCACTCTGGAGCGGGGACCGTGTGGCGGAGAGTCCTAAAAGGAAACACGCCGGACTCGTCCATAAACTGTCGGAGACCCCAAAACCGGGATCCGGGTCCCGTGGCGAGATCGATTACCCAGTCGGAGTATCCCAAATCGGCAACCACTTCTCAGTGCGATACCTGTCAAATAACTCCCCTACAACTGTCAAACAACTGGTCGGCGCATCATCCCCTCCCTGCAAGGCACGTGTAGTAAGGGAGCAACGAGGGAACTCAACGGATCAGGCCAAGCCCGCTGGGCCCAGGGTGCATAAAAAAAGCAAAATTGGCGAGGGACACGGCCTTCATCTAGTAAGGTACTTCAGGATAGTGGAGGCATCCACAGCGTGCAGGACTGCGCGTGATGCGTATCGCGTATGGTTTGATGCATTTTCTTGCCTGACTTACTCACCAGTTAAGGTACCTATTTACCTATGGAGCAGATTCCGGCGCAAGCGGTGTGACTTGCTTGACAACCCGGGCCGGGGTCCCGATAGCGACACTCCAGGCCGGTATATCCTTGGTGACGACGGAACCTGCGCCAATCGTGCACCCCTCACCGATGGTAACACCAGGTAGGACCACGACGTGGCCGCCGATCCAGCAGTCATCCCCGATGGTGATGGGCTTCGCGTATTCGATGTTGTCACGCCGACTCTGCACGTCGGTTTCATGGGTCGCCGACAGAAGCGAAACGTTGGGACCGAACATGACGCGCTCACCAACGGTCACGATGGCGCAGTCCAGAATGATCAAGCCGAAGTTGGCGTAAAACCGTTTCCCCAGGCTGATGTTGCAGCCGTAGTCGACCCGGAACGGCGGCTCGATGAAGGTATCGTCACCAACGTGGCCCACAAACTGGCGGAGCATCCGCAGACGTTCTTCGGCGAGTGTGTCGAAGGTTGCAGCAGGGTCCGAAGGGAAGTGGTTGTTGTATTCATGGCAATGACGCCGTGCTCCAAATCGGGAGGTTGCTAGTCCCTTCTCCATGGAGTCGTAGCTATCATACCTCGATTAGTCTTACCAGGTACCCAAGATGCAGATCACTCCCGAGGGGATACAGTTGGGGTGACATTGCAACTCACAGCATGCCCGAAATCATTTTCTCATATTCTTCGCCCCCCGGGACATGGGCGAGAGTAGCCGCTTTCGCGAGCTCCCTCTGATCTTTTTGAGTCGCGGCCATGGTTTGTGGTTGGATACCTTAGGTAATGTGGCTGAGGTGGTGTCTCTTTGGTTGAAAAAAAGAAGTAACAATCGAAGACGGGGGTAAAGAAACCGGGGAAAGCTGCACTGCGGAGGATAAATCCTCAAACTTCCATGCCAAGCAAAGCAGTGGGGTGTTTGATGGCCCACCCGCCCCGTCTTGGGCAGCAGTTGGTTTGAGAAATCGTTCCCTCGATCCAAGGAACTATTGTCTTCAACCCAACTTCTCTTTTCGGCATGGCACAGCAGCACAGCGGCACAATAAGGCATAAAACAACATACTTAGCGCGTCATTTCTTGCTTGCCGGCTGCTATCGTTGGAATCGGCAGCTGTCGAAACAAAAGGCAGGGTGATAATGCCAGTGCATCCCCCGTCTTGAGCCCAGCGCGGCAACGTAAAATCCATCTCGCGCTTTACTCCGAAGTAGTAACGGAGTCCAAAACAGCCAGAAACCATTATGGTTAAGTAATGCGAGTATTCGTATGTATTCGATCCAGTCCATCCTCGAAATTGGTGCCTGGGATTAAACATTGAAATTGACATGTACCTAAGATCAGTGAAGAAACAGACGCGGTGCTCCTTCTTTCCCTCCATACCTCACTACATCTATACATCCAGATGTAAATTCATTGAAGCTCAGTAGGTAGGTACCTGATGCTATGCCAACCAACTCAGGCCTTGAGTTCCCCTACGCCAGAGGACAACCCATCACAACTAAACGTCCGGTACCGTCACAATCGCCTCGATCCCCGGCACCTCACCCTTAAACTCGTCCCTATCAGTTGTCCCAGCCACATCGCCTCTCCACTCATCGATAATCTTCAGCATATTCCGACACGTCCCCTCCACCACTCTCACGGCGTCATCCCCGATCGGCAGCCTAGGCGGTATCTTTTTTCCGCTAGCACGCCCTTCGCCACGGATGACGTCCACCATCAGCTCGACGCCCTTCTTGACGTCGCCGCGCTCGTTGCCGGCCATTGCCCCCGCAACATTGGCCATCGCCGCACGATGGCCAGCATAATCATCCAGCGGCGGCGCCGTGGAGGCATTCTCGAGGAGCTTTGATAGGTCTGTGAGCTGGGTGTGGAAAAATCCCGGCTCGAAGTCGATGGTGCGGATGTTGAAGGGGGCCAGCTCGGCGGCGAGGCCGTCAACGATGGCTATGCGAGGAGTAAGCAACCAGGCTGGAGTTAAACCTAACATGAGGTACCCACCTTTGAGTGCACCCTTTGCCGCGCCGTACACCGATACCATGGTGGGCGCCCACCAAGCGTACATCGAACCGACAAAGGCAATGGTGCCGGATTGCTGCGCGCGCATGTACGGAAGTACCGCGCGAGTGACAGAGAGGGCGCCAAAGAAGTTCACGTTGAAAAGCTTCTGGTAATCCTCGTTGCTATTCGGCGTCAGGCCTGCTTACTGAAGTAGCTTGAGTTACTTACTTGGTCTCCTCGACAGTTCCAAACAGGCCGTAGCCGGCATTGTTCACCAGCACATCGATCCGGCCATAGATCTTGACTGCCTCATCGATAATCTTCTTGACCTCGGCCTCGGGCAGACTGACATCTAGGTCGACGATGGCTGCGCCGGTGCCCTCGAACTGCTTCAGCTTTGTTGCGGCGTTGCGTCCCGTTGCGATCACCTTGTCCCCGCGGGCGAGAGCTGAATGCACGAACTGGGCGCCGAAGCCGGACGAGCAGCCCGTGATGAGCCAGACTAATGGGGCCATCGTTGTGTGAGGGACGGGGGTGGTTTGTAGCGCTCGGGGTAGGGGATGGGTTACTATGGCGGGACGAAATCACGCGTGCGAAGAACAACAATATCTAAATAACTTCGTGAGGGGGTTCACAAAGAGGGGGAGACACGAGACTAGGCCCCTTGATATCCACAGTAAGCTTACAGATCCTGACTCGGAGGTCTTGGCACGTTACTGACGCCGTGCTAGCTCATCCACTTGCCCAGGGTCCGTTTCCCGTGCATGGCTGCCTTCATCTTAACGAGAAGCCTGGCGAAACACGTGGCCAAAATCTGGTGATCCAAACAGTCCCTTTCCCCCTCAAGTAGTAATGGTGTTTGCGAGATACCCTCGACGTTTCAAGGCATAAGATCGTTGTGGACTGACGATCGTGCCAGCGAAACGAGCAAGGCGACGTAGCATCCGTTGTAGATCGGAGTTAGCACAGCCCATAAGGATCTCCTAGTCGGGCCCACAACGCAGGATATTGGGCACTGCCGGAGCGCAGCATACGACCCTCACAAGAGGTAAATGGTGCAGCGAGAAAGAGGGAAGAAGTAGGGGGCTTGTACGAGTTAAAGGCAAACCGATTTGATCCGGATGTAGTTAGCGTGCTAAGGCCCTATAGGCCCAGTGCCTCCGGGCGAAATAAATTCCATCCATCCATCCATCCATACGACCCTCTCCACAGTTGAGCCCAACCAAGTACTTCACAGAATACCGCTTCAAGAACAACTTGATAATCGCCGTAGAAGTCACGGTTGACGGTTCTGTTCTCTCTCCACCATTCCGTTCCCTTGATATTCGTGGTTACCGTGCCTCAAGCGACGATGACAAAGTCAACGCAGCTCTCATAAGTTTGAGAGCCACGGATTGCGTACCAGTACCATTGAATAGCGCACTTCCCACCTTCGGTACAGATAGAGGCCAGTCTTTCTGGGATGGTTATGTTGAAGTCAACTGCAACAGTACGGAGATTAGAATTTGGAACTACCTAGGCGATCAAGATCACGTACCATCATCCTGGATTGGGTTCGTGCTGTTGATCGGCCACTCCTCCCATGTTTTCAACGGACTGCCAAGGACGACGTTGTTGACTGGGTCGATCACCGACACGTTCTGTTACTGTTAGTATTCTTGGGATATGGTTTGATCCCAGAAGGACAAGAGCAGGAGGCCACGTACCGCGTATCCCGGTCTATGACCGGCAACAAGAACAATATGGAAATCGACTATGTCCCCAGCTTGAAACGTGTGAAGACTCGCTTCGTTATCTTTGTACTGGTATCCTCGGCAGACATAGGCATTGCAGTTGTAATCAGCGTCGGCAACTTCAACAGCATTTTCGATGGGGCCGGCGAGGTCTTGTTCAAAACAGGGATCAGGCTTACAGACATGTCATCGAAACGCGGGAGCATTCCTTACCTCTGTTCAATACTGTCGACACTGCAGCCCCACAGAGTTCCTCAGATAATGCCCCAGCCTGGTCATGTTTTGTCAGCTTCCTATTATGTTCCCCAGGGAAATGAATGTCGAACCTTCCTCGGGGTGGGAGTCTTGACCACAGCGTGCGCAAGGGCGCCGACTGCGCCAAGGGAAAAGAGAGCGGCTTGGAGAAGCATGGTTCCGGGAAGGTGTTTGGCCTATTGCCTTTTAGAAGTCTACTGGCGAGAAGTGAAGTGTGGCAGGGATAATGGCTCATTTTATGCTTTACTAGGTCTTGATGCGACATGCTCAAAACTCGCCCTCAATTTCTCACACATTTTGAGTGCTTCCACTCGTAGCCTTGTCCACGCCGCTACTTTGGACGCTTCAAATTCTACACGAATTATCCACCAATCGCAGTTAGAGGGATACAGCCATGCGTATTTCCACCCCCAGTGTTTCGTCCGGGGATCCCTAATATTCCCTTGTTACGGCCTCCTCAGCTTGAACTTCCCTCCAATTAAGGGAGTCGATAACAAACGCACTGGTGTAGATCAGCGGAGTTCCCACGGCTGACAAGGACGCAGCGGGATGGCATGCTCCGTTGGGGTACCATCACCGAGCCAGATGGAGCAGACTGAGTTTAGATAGTACCTGGTAACCTTAGCCACGGAGATTTGGTACCATGGAACACGAGAACTCCTCATGTGGGAAATGCTCCCTGTGTTGGCTACCTTACCTACTCAACAACTGTGAGGACAATCTCGTTATAGAGGTACCTATGGGTGCATCATTTGGTTTCACAACACACTTCAGCTAATACTAACCCCTAGACTCTTTCGGAACTTACCTCCTGTGAACGGCCGTTGGTTATAGGACTCGGAGGCGTTCAGGGTGTAGCTTCTTATCATTTATATATTAGTTTCTCGGTATTTTATGTAGATTATTCACCAATGGCCACTAAGTTGACACCATATTGTTCCCAAAAGAAAAGAAGAGAAAACCCCCTCAACATCAACCACCCTTCGTCAAAATCCTCAACCCACTCCCCTCATCCCCCACCAAATGCACCTTCACCGTCTCCGCCCTCGCACTCAACGCCGCCTCCTGCACCCCCCTCCCCCCCACCTCCGCATTCTCCCCATACAACAACACCAACGGCAGCGCCGAATCCCTCCACAATGGCACGCCCCTCGACTTCCCCATCGCCACCAGCACCGTCACCACACTCAACCCCCACACCGCCACCGGCAACCCCAACCACGCCCACTCCACTCTCACAAACGTCCCCACCACATTGACCCTCCCCTCCACCACGTACGGCACGGCCGTCCCATTCCTGACCACCGCCAGATCCCGCACCGACTTGGTCAGCGCGGCGCCCAGCGCGCGGAACGCGCACGCCACGTTGTCGTCGGGGGTTGGGCAGGTGGTGCCGGTAAAATTGGCGTAGAAGACGGCCTGCAGGGCGTCGTTGGCGCGCGAGAAGCCGCCCGGCGGGGGCAGGTCGACGACCCGGATTGCCATGTTGCTGTCGGTGGTGTGGCCGCGGCCGAGGAGCTGGCCGCCGAGGGGGGAGGGGTGCGTGACGGAGAGGGATTCGAGCCATTCTGGGTGGATGGTGTAGGCTTTAGGGGGGTGGTTCCAGGGGGGGGTGAGGGTGATGGGGTTGGGGGGGGTGTAGGGGTGGTCCGGGATGGTGAAGGTGTCGAGGATGGTTTCGGAGTACTCGCTGCGGGTTACGGAGGCTTGAATGCGGCGTACGCAGGGGAGGATGGCGCATTCGGAGCCGATGAAGCTGGGTTTGGGTGTGGACGTTAGTTTGGGTGTCGGGATGAGGGCACTGGGGTTGCTTGGAGAAATATGAGAGCAAGGGTGTTGGGAATGGGGGTAAGGAATTTGGGGTTTCACACACCGGGTATCGTTTTTGAGGATATGGATTCCATTATTGGCCGGGGTTCCGTCGACTTCGAGGGAGGGGTTTTGGGTGCCCCCTAGTTCGTCGGTGGGTACGGCGGCCCGGATGGACTGATAGATTGTTGGTGGCCAGCTCAGGTTGGTGAGGGCGGTGGCATTGTCCGACCGGGTCGAATTGAGGACCATGTACTCGGATGCACCGTCGAAATCAGGGTCAGCCACGTACCACAGGCTGACGGGTTCGTTGCCGCCCGGGAAGGTGACGGTGCAGGTTTGCGCCGTGGTCCTATTGTTGGAATCGAACACGGTCTTGCACGTCCGGCGTAGCTGGCTCGAAACATCGACGCAAGCAGGGCAAAAGCCGAGAGTTGAAAACGGGGCCCAGGTGCAGTTACCTGTAGGACAGTTGAATCGCGGTTGTGTGAGGACTTCTTGGGTAGGGAGGAAGAGGGCAGTGATAGCGTTGGCCTTGAATATGGGGTCGAGAGTCCAAGTCGAATAGTCATATTTGGGGCCAAGCGAGTCAAGGATATCTGCTTTGGCTAGCCACGAGGTCCGGGCGACATCGACGTATTCGGCGTCGTAGAAATGGACGATCTGCTGCGCAAATGGGCCAGCAGCGGCACCAATGATGATGGCAAATGCTCCGAGAACGGCAACGCTCCTATTGCGATCAAGGTCAGTCGGGCACACGCCGCGAGGGGAAGAAAGGGGGTTGACATACCGCCCCTTTAGCGCCCAAGCCAGCATCATGGCGCCACTCGCCCCCCGGCTCCCACTGTCGAACGTTTTGTAATCGATCAACTTCTTTTCATGCCCGGCCAACCAAACCCATTTCAACTGGGAAATGGCGCTGGTCGCACCGTAGAGCGCAGCCATCTTCCCCACCACCGCGAGGATGGAGATGAGCGTATTAAAAGACAACGACCCCCAGTCAGGAATCCTCTGCCTGTCGTACCGCTGCAGAACGTACACCATCGCAGCTAAGCTGGCGGCTGAAACAAGAAGGCCAAACAGTTCGAAAGTCCATGTTGCAGAAAGTTTCTGGAGAAACGTCGACTTGTGAGGCGGGCCGGCGGGGATGGAGGAGACGTAGTGGTCGGGGCGGAGGACGTCTGTATCGGTGTCGGAGTGGACTTTCTGTTGCCATTGTGAGGGATACGGATGGGGTTCACCTTGTGCGGGAAGGAGATGTGAGGAGGCCTCAGCCCATGCTGGTGGTGAAGGGTGGGAAGCCATGGTTGGCATGTGAGTCGTGGCAGTGGATTAATTAGTGGACTGTCGAGAACGGAAGGCCACGGGCTTGCTGCTTTCGAATTTGGAAGCGTAGTTGTGATCGTTTTATAAGTTAGGTAGGTACATTAATTTTCCAGCTTCTTGGCCACGGAGCCCAGGCCTGCTCCACCACATCGGCAGCTCCCTACCTAAGAGACATGGGCCATGGACATGCAGTGTGTATATTTGGCGCGCCTCATCGCGTTCTATTCGTCCAACACCCGCCAGCTGAACAACGTCAAGGTCTTACCCCGGTTCTGAGACAGTCTCCTTGCCCAGGCCGTCCACCTTGGTCTCTTGAAAATCTTTTTTTCAAGCCTAGTCGCCTATGGGGTCGAGAACCGTCAGCCCTAGCAGCGTGCCAAGGGAACAAGCGGCAGATACATGACGCTATCCCCAAAGTAGATGTTGCTCGAATCCAATCACCAGCTGACAGTGAAGCAAGCGAGAGCTAGCAAGAGCAAGAGCTTGCCTTCGACCAACCGTCGTTCCCGTTAGGTGTCCCTGCCCCCAAAGGCTGAACATCCACAATAAACCCAGACCTTTCGGGCAGCGATCGTGCTTGGCTCCTTCGAGCGAGCTGTTCTGACCTCTATTTTGTGAGACGGCTAATTCATTAAGTTGGGATAATTAACCTAAAACCTCTTTTTCTCCCTTCAACCCTCCTCCCCAAGATCAGATGTCCTCGAACCGCTACATCTCCGTTGCACAGCCACAACGACGCTACTGCTCATACCGGCTCGTTGGCACCAGACCTCAAGGTTCCCAATGCACCTTGACAATGTTAGGCTTATTAGAGTTGTAGTCGAGCTTGTGGATACCCCAGTTGATACATTCGAGAGTAGACGTCGCCTTCCTCATCGGTGAAGTAGTACTTCCTGGTGGAGACGTTCTGGACTTCGAGTCGCCACTTTCACCACAGCCTGCCTCCCGGCCAGAGAGCATAGTCCGTTAAGCCTCCGACACGAACATCGCCGTGAATCTTGGACCACTGTTGATGAGCGGTGGTGGGCCAATAGACGGGAACGGAGACGCGTTGGAACTTGACGGGTGGTGGGTCGATTTGCGGGCTGGCTGAGTCCGTAGCGGGAGGGTTAGCTTGGGACTGTGAGGCGGTAGGTCTGCCAATGCGAAAAGTGACCCCGTTCTGGCTTTTGGCGTCTTCCCATTCGAAACCGTCCTCGGTGTCGGTTCGGTCGTGGGCGATAGGAAGATCGGACATGTTGTTGCGATTAAAAAGACTCAGATATCACTGTCAATGCATGAGAGTCAGGGAGGCCGTACTAACGTTTTCGTGCTGACTGTTATAAGAGTAGTCAAGGAAGATGAGAGAAGAAAAAAGGACACAGGACTGCCTTCACACATCGACGTATTTGTAGTGCTATCCTCGCCCGAAGATCGTCGATGATGTCAACATGACCCTGCACCCGGTCCAAGGTTTGACCTGGATCAGATGTTAGTGAGTGTAAGTCTACGCAAGCGGCGTGCCCATCATCCACCAACTAAGGGGCAAGCCACAGAGGGAACCACATGGCTATCAACCATTGGGCGGCGTTGGGACGATCATAAACGAATGACAAATGGCTTGGAATCATCAAAGGGGACTTGGCATGGACCTGAGGCAATGTTCTCAACAGGTCCAAATGTTAGATGCACGGGTTAAATTGTTATTTTGAGACTTCAAAAGTGGCCGGGAGCTTTTGTGAAGGCGTGGAAGAGGGCTCTGGGGGTTGACATTCACGACAAACATATTCTAACACGGAAACTACCCCTTGATGGATAGCTTTTTTTTTTTTTTTTTTTTTTTTTTTTTTTTTTTTTTTTTTTTTTTTTTTTTTTTTTTTTTCTCAGGCAGTGCGATTGAATAGATGTTGCCGGCATTAAAGAGGTCACCCGTAATATGATCATTTTTTGCGAGTCAGGGATATTGAGGGTGGTGTTTGGATGTTAATGGACTCCCACGAAAGAACTTTCTGTACCTTATTTACAGCTAAGCTCTCACCCAATTTGGGTGCCTCAAAGAAGCTCGGCGTCGCTCTGCTCAAAAAGAGATGGGCGCTGCTCAAACTGCATGATCAGCAATCTGTGCTCCTCACTTCGCGGCTCGATCCGAAAACCGAAGTCCCTCGGATAAGCCAGGATACCAGGTTTCGCCTTCACATCCACATCGACCTCCTTTCCATCATTTCCCACAGCTTTCATAAACTTAAAAACGGCTAATGACTGGGCCATGTTGAGGTAAAGCCCCGAGTCAGCAAAGAAACGGCCAGGGCATTTTCTGCGGCCGTAGCCAAAAGTCTCGGCCATTGGGTCGGGTTCTTCCCGTGGCGGAAGGAAACGATCGGGATCGAAGCACTCCGGATTGGCGTACACCTGTGGGTCGTGTAGAAACCACCAGACGGCGGGTAAAAGATAGGCACCCTTGGGGATGTGGAGGCCATTGAACTCAACATCCTCCGTAGCGGTGTGAGGAAAGCCCATGGGGGCGATAGGCCACCACCTGGTGACTTCCTTGACCAAGGCGTTGATGTATGGCAGATTCGGACGATCCTCGAAGGTGGGCAGACGATCCGTGCCAACAACGCGATCAAGTTCCTCCTGGGCCTTGCGCTGCACGTATTCAAACTGGATCATGGCTAATGTGAAGACGGTCAGACTGACTGTGGTGGTATCTGTCCCAGCGCCGTAAAGACTTGCCGCCGTCCAGATAACGGCTTCCTCATCGTCGGCGTCGAGCTTGACAGTCGGCTCCTCTTTGAGTTGTTCCATGAGCTTTGATACGTACGAAGGCCGGTGAGTTGAGGCGGCCATCTGGTCCTGGACAAAGCGGTAGGGAATATATGCTGATGCCATAATGGACTTGCGCCACTGCGCAGCCGTCTTCTTGAACTTCGCTCCAGGGAAGCTCTCGGGAAGATACTGGAGTGCGGGGACAATGTCGACAGCCCAAGCCATGGGAACAGCGGCCAGCGAAAACTCAGCCATCATTTTCTCCACCAAGTTGACCAACTTGTCAGGCCGATGAGGCTCGATGGTGTAGCCATATGCCATCTTCAAAACCGTGGCGGCTGCAGCACTGAAAGTAGGTGCTTATCCTCGTCAGTCATCCAAGTTTAAAGAGTAGGTAATTACCGGGGATTGGCGGAATCTTACGTTTTACAATGGCCCAACCATTTTCCAGGTTCCTTCAGCGTCCGCACAAGCTGACGCCCTACTTCGATCTCTTGGGTATCCCGGAACCGTGCTGCGGACACCGTCGTGCCGAGCTCTTGGTGCAGGTATTTTCGATAGCGCCGAAACGTAGGCGTATAGCCTTGACAGACGACGATGGACTCGTAGCCACATAGCTTATTCGCCATGACCATGGTCGGCCGTCCAGAAGTCTTGCTCGCCATCTTCTCCAGGAGCTCATGGGCCATCTCCTTGTTGTGTATCAATACGAGAGTCATGCCCATAACCGTGACGGAGCTGATGTCCCCGTAAAGGTCCTTGTGCGCCATCCAATGTTGGTATTCCAACGTGCCTTTGGGGGGGAAGTCTCGAATGTTTCCAAGAAGCGGGAGCGGTTTGGGTCCAGGGGGTAATTTGTGCGCCCTTTGCTGCTGGAACTGTCGTCGGTATAATACGACACAGCCAGATAAAAAAAGAACGCACCACATTGAGAATGACATGATTCCCATGCTAGTCGATAGCCATCAAACCGGCTAAAGTACCTATTTGGCTGGAGGCTATTTCAAAGTTGCGGACTGGAGCCAAGGAGAGGACAGAAACTTGCAGCACCAGTAAATTTATGGCGACCGTCTTATGATATTTCGTCCTTGCAGTGGCTGTGCAGCCCTTAGGATTGCCACCCCCCGGCGCTGATCAGTTCTGCCGCAGTTCCGATAGGCTGGGTTGTTACACAGTGTTGGTAGGTCTGTGTTAGGTATGACCTGTGCATGGTCAGACGAAAGCAGGTTGGTAGCATCAGCGACTGGCGGGATCTCAGTTAATGCATCTTGGCAGCTTGTAATTTGTATTAAACAGTACGCTGCGCAAGACTGTGGAGAGATGTATTTAGGCACTCAGAGTCGGATAGGAGGCTGCACAGGTCGATGACTCGCAAAAGCTGGTTACGCTGAGCAGGCCTCGGTCTGTCTCCTACACCCACCTCGAGTCACCGCCTGCCTTATCCCCGCACGGTTTTCTTCCCATATGTTCCTAGCACTGGATCATCCTCATGCATGCTGGCCGTCCATTCCCCAATGCCAGAACGCGCGGGAGCTCTCTTCGCGCGCCCACCACCACCTCCGATTAAATTTCCCGGCCGGTAATTGGGATCGGATTGCATTCAGCGGATTTCGGAGGCATGGATCTCGGCCTCCTTTGGAATGTCACGAACAGCTCCGCAAGGGAGCGGCCAATGGACCAGGTTCCACGAGCCATCGGCTTGCAAGTGCATCCGTCCCAACGGGAGATACTCCATCACGCGCCACAACAAGACTGACGCAGGGGGCAGCCCTTGACCAAACTGGAGGAGATCGTGCAGGACACCCCGTGTGGCCGAGAGATAGAGTCTGTCGAAGAGCCCGGAGCCAGGCGCTGTAGCGCCCTCCCCCCTCCTCCGTGTCGTCCCTGGGCTGAATCGGCAAGTCCGAAGGCCCATCCCAGCAACCCCCCTGAGATAGCTTGTCAGGGTCAAATCGGAGGCCCGCCCACTGTGCTTCATGTACCATCCAGACAAGAGGAGCATGACTTAGGGACCATTGCTCTTCGTCGCCCGGTTGCCAGCCACCGCCAATATCGGCGTGGTCTCCTGGGAACCAAACTTCTTGTATGTCAGTTGTTCCGTCGTCATCGTCCTCGTCGTCGTGCATTGCCGGTACCTGGGAAACAATAGACTGCCTCGACTGCCTCGACTGCCTCGACTCCCCAGAATTGACCACATGCAGTTGAGTTAGTTCATCTGGAGACTGGGTCCGACGAAGGGTGCCCGGCCGAAATAAAACCGGCTGGAATTTGACTCGTCGTTCGTCGATGCTAACTGCGTGTCGAATGAATCTCGAACTAGCCATTTCCCTGGTGTCAACCTGAAACTTTGCGATGCTGTTGACGGTATCGAATAAGCCCAGGAACTGTACACGACACACCGGACGGCAAATGGTCTCCCGGCAGGCTTTGAGAAAGACGAACGCAGTCTGCCGCTCCGTCGTCTTGTGCGAACTGCTCAATTTCCAGGTGGCAAAGGCTTCCTAGACAAAAGGGATCATTTCTTCGTTGTCGGGCCCGAGCAAACCGACGTAGTCAAGCATCTCATTCATGAACCTGGCGGTGTATGCTCCCCGCGAGAAGCCGAAAATGTAGACTTTGCATCGAGAGCGGTAATGCCTCATCAGAAAGCGATACCCGCCAATGAGATGCTGGTCAAACGAATGACCCAAGGCCAAGTCGAGGACCTTGTTGGTCCACAGCCGCCTCCCTCGCCGTAAAGCGTCGCTGGCCAAAGAGGTTGGAGTAATATCAGCTCCAATGCCCGCTATGCTGGATTAGCTTCGGATCTGCTCAACGAACTCGACGCTGGGAGCTACTGTACGTTGATAATAACAAACTATACCCGCTTACTTTGCTCGTCTTCGGTGCGATCAACCATTCTGAAGATTTTCAAAATATTGGCCTCCGCGCCATCGACACGGAATGTGTTTCCTGTGCCGTCGAAGCACAGAACGAGCACTCTCCGTGGTGAGGACTTTTTGTGAGACTCCATCGTGTGAGAGGACGTGAAGGGAAAGGCCCAGGAACGGAGGCCTAAAAAGCGAAGTCTAGGTAGAGGTACAGGGAGCTACCTACCTATATTTATGATCCCCAGCCTTTGTCCTGAATCAGACCAACTAACGACAGCATGCAAGAAGCCGTCATCGCCTCGGATTACTTATCCTTGGATATCCTTCGCTGTGGACACGTTCCGGCGCCTCAAAGGACGAGTTCTGATGCACATGTACGAAATAGGCGTTTGTGGCTGCCCACGCGTGAGCTCATCACTGCCGATGGCGTAAATCGTCGCCGGCGATTGGGGGACGCGACGAATACTTTAACCTGGAGGCCAAGGTTGCATCGTAGATCAGGCTTGAGCGCGGGGTCTGTTGGATTTGGAAGGCGGTGAGGAGGGGCAATTCAGGGGTAACTAGTGGCTGGGCATTAGTATTTTCAGGATCAAGGCGAGGCCCGCGGCAGTGGGAACAAGACAGAGACAGAGAGAGACAGACATCATCATCAATGAACTGGTTGCCCCTCTTTCATCACCTTTTGGCACCCAAATCACCTTGGTTCAGTCATTCGTAGCTGTTGGCTTTCCAACAGGGTCCATTCAACGGTTGAATGGACCCCGCGCTCAAGCCTGTTCAACCAACCAGGCCTAATCTCAGCCGTGAACTCGCTGATGCGCGCTAGGGGGTGGGTTGGGGAGCAAGCGATTCGCCCAGCCAAAAGCACAGCAGATCTTCATGGTCAATTCAGCCCTGTTCGGGATAGCCTCCATGCCTCGGCCTCAGCTGTGTGGCATTTATCGATGCTGATGTTGACGGCGGCCGGCAGCCACATTCTCATTTACAAAGAAGTTCACAACACGGAGAAGATGCGTTTGGGCGTTCTCGGCTTTTTGTTCCCTTGCTACCGATAAACTGCGCGGCTGTGCCTGATGGCAATGCTTAGTTGGCCGCATAGCGAGGGCGCCCTGACGACAGGCCAAGCAGCTACATGTAGGGGTACGATAGTTGTGTGTGGTTGTGGGTGGCGATTTGGAAGATATATACCTAGTTACCTAATGTGGACTGTTATGAATAGTGATAATAATAGCGAGTGGTTATACCAATAACGAGTGGACCCCGTCGTTGATAAAGCACACCATATACATTGAGGATACTACGTATGGTACCTAGGTAGTCTATGTGGTCGCCCAGAGACAAAACCCCCCTACCTGGTCGTCATGGCAGGCGTTGATGTCCCTTGTTGGTGCAACAATTCACAGTCACCTTGGAGTCTCGAGCTTACATAGGTAAGGTAGTTTCAGTTTAAAGGTCTGCGGCTAGGTACCTACCAAAGAACCTCTCGGGGACTTCACTCAGGTTACATGCCGCATGCGTTGTACGTGGATTTCAAGCAAAAGATGATCAAGGCTCGGTGAGTCGTATTTATCACTGTGTAGGTGTTAGTGCGTAGAGCAGGAAAGTATGAGAGGCACACTGCTACGTATAGAACGTCTTAGAATGTCATTTGAGCCGCGTCGACAGTCGAAGCCCTTGACCATCGCCCGGTGCGGTGAAGGCGTGCTACAGGGGTTGGAATCAAACCGTTTGATGGGTTCGATCATCACCATTGCTGCCTGGTTAATTAAGGCCAGAAACAGGGGGGCTGAGAACAATGCTAGTTCCCTTCGCCTTTCTCCTGGAAGCATTGATCGGCTTCGGGCCTGCCTACGAATTGGGATATACAAAGTTAGCCTCTTGGCCCAGTGCAGCATCAAAGGGTGTGTACGGATTACAATCCGCCGGAGTAATATTCGTTCACGTCCCACATATCCACAACATTTGGCCAGTAATCATTCGCCGTTCCGCTGCCGTATTTCGTATCCAGTATGGAGTTACGTGGCTGAACGCTCCAAAACACCGCTGATCTTCGCCACTCCCCTGGGCGCCCTTGTTCTCACCCAAATCCGAGATACGGTAATGCCAAGTAGGTCCCCTATTCGCGGAACCAGCGGGGCACTGTAAAGGCTTCATTCAATCGGTGCTTCGATCGTATCCCTCGGTTGGTCCGCGTCTTTCGTCATGGCCAGCATGCCTGTTGATCACCCACGTCACCGGGACAAAGTCACAAAGAAGATGGATGGCCCCCGGCCGGACTCATGCGTCAAAGAGTTATATAATGTTACGGCCAGCCGCCCTCACAGACGCCACTCCGGTGTATCAACTGTCAAGCCTTGGACGCCAAATCCTTTTTCGCCAAGATGGTCAAGCTCACTCATCTCTTGCTGGGTCTTCCAGCTGTTTTGGCTATGGAATGCCGCCCCGAGGGACCAATCGTGCCTCCGCCGCGCAACCTGAAGGAGTCGGCCCCATTCCAAAGGGCTCTCGCCAACCTCACCGCCACCCTCGACTCCGCGTTCAAGGGCGAGATCAAGTCCTCCTTGGATGCCCAAAATGTCTCGCTATCGGTGGCTCTCGTCGGACTTGATCAAACGGATGCATCAACTCCGCTGTGGGAGTATCACCATCTTGGCTCGGGCAATGTGAACGGCACCAAGTCGTTGGACAGACACTCGCAATATCTGGTTGGGTCCGTCTCCAAGGTCATCACTGATGCCGTCCTTCTGCGCAGCGGCGTGAACATGGATGACCCAGTCACGAAATATCTTCCGTCGCTGGCCAACGAGACGTCGAGGATCGACTGGAAGAGCATCAGCCTGCGGGCTCTGGGAGGCCAGCTGGCCGGCATTCCCGCCAACTGTATGTTCCCCTTATCCAGTTCCACCAGATGTGATGAGCACAGAAACTGACAAACCTTCGCAGATGGATTCTCGGTATGTCAAACTCTCCAAGAACTCCAACCCCCAAATTCACTTAGACCCCCCAACCTCCACCTAAGGTACCTACCTAACCACAAATCCCTAACACCACCCAGGAATACCACTACATCAAAGACTGGTTCGAAGCCCTCGGCTTCCCCGCCCTCAATGACACCAACTACCCCGACTGCGGCGTGATCGGGCTCAACGTCGCCTGCACGCGCGAACAGCTCCTCGCCGGGATGCTGACCTCGGACCCCCAAGCCCTGCCGCAAGCCCGCCCCGTCTACTCCAACATCGCCTACACGCTCCTCGCCTTCGCCCTCGAAGCGGCCACCGGCAAAGACTACCCCACCCAACTCCGCGACTTCCTCACCACTCCCCTCCACATGCCCTCCACCATCCCCAGCCCCGGCAACGACTCCCTCGCCGTGATCCCCCCCGTCGAGAACACCTGGGGCTCGCCCTACGGCGACAACGCGCCCGGCGGCGGGCTGGTCTCCACGCTGGCCGACCTGTCCTCCTTCCTGCACGCCATCCTCAGCCGCGACGAGGCGCTCGGCTCCGTAGCCGACATCCGCGCGTGGCTGCAGCCGCGGACGTTTTCGGGGTCGCGGTCGAGCGCGGTCGGGCTGCCGTGGGAGATCTTCCGCCCCGAGCCGGGGTTGTTGTTCCCAGGGTATGATGCGGAGACCGGGGAGGGCGGGCATACGGTGACGATTCATGCGAAGGATGGGGCCGCGTATGGGTACCATGCGCGGATTGCGCTGCTGGATGAGTATGGGGTCGGGTTGGTGGTGCTGACGGCGGGGAATCAGGATGCGTTGGGGGCCATGTATGATGCGGCGTTGACGGGGCTGGTGCCGGTGCTGGATGGGTTGGCGAGGCGGCAGGCGGTGGAGGAGTATGGCGGGGTGTTTAGGGGGGTGTCGACGGAGGAGACGGGCGCGGTGCCGGTGAATGCGACGGTGGGGTTGGATGGGTTGTCGTTGCGGTTGATGGGGTTGAACAGGAATGGGTCGGATATCTTGGCTGCGCTGCAGGAGCTGTGGGGGGTCACCTTGTTTGAGTTCCTGCCCTCGTTGGACATGACGGGTGTGTATCGGCTGTACCCGACTGGGATTGAGAGGAAGGCGGTGCTACCGGATGGGAGGGAGGTTGTGGAGGAGGATTGGAGGGTGTGGTGGGAGGTCGAGTCTACGTCCGAGAGCGAGCTGCCCGGCGCAGGACTCAGCAACAATGACTGCCTGACCTGGACACTGGCAGACTGGATGTACTATGGTAGCCAGTCGGCCGACAGGGTGGTGTTTGTGAAGGATGCTGAGACAGGGAGTGTGCTGGGTCTGGACGCTCCGTTCTTGAGGACGGGTGCCATGGGGAAGTCGTCGGACGAGTGAAGCCAGGGGTTATGTCGAGAGGGACACCGCTGTCCCACGCGGCCCTCTCTGACCACACTTTCGTTCAGCCACAGACAGAAAGTTATTGTTAGACATTAGATCAAGATTGTAATTCGGAACCTATTCAGAAGTCAGGTGTCTCTGGCCGAACATTCATCCTCTAATTTGATCGTGCTCCGACTGTTGCGCCGAATAACCAGGTTCTACCCACGCCATCCCATGAGCCAACTCCTTCACGCCGGGGCATATGGCCAGCCATCGCGGGCTCACTTCACCACTGTTCGAGTGTGTTGGCTCCTGCTTTGGTTCCGCCCGAGGCAAACCCTCCCGTAGAGTTCCCAGACAGCTATTCCCTCTCGGCCATGGAGGGATACACTGGTGAGCCCTCGGCATCTAGTGTTTCTCGCTTTGCTTTCGCTCAGTCGAGGGCGGTTGAGCCGTACCGTCAACCATTCGCCAGCCATCGGGTCGTTACGCCCACGAATCTTATCACGAGATGTCCCCCTTGCCGCGCATCACGCACTGCATTTAGCCCAAGACTTTTGCTAGCGCTATTACAATCTCCTTATGCCATCCCGATGGCGCTCAAATCCGAGTCGCCAAGGGTACATTGCAGACAAGTCCAATCAACCCGGATGGCTCGCCCTCCACGTCGAAATAAACAAATGCTGAACCAGCACGATAGGATTGTCGATCTCGTGGGTATGCTCATGCGGCAGCCAGCCAAAGCTGTCCTTGGGCAGGACCAACACATCCCCAATCAAGCGCGGCTCCTCCATGCTGTCCATCTCGTCGCCGTTGTGCTCCACGCCGGTGACGTTCTTGAAGTAGTCCATGAACGCCTGAGTCCAGGCATATGGCCCAGTCGTCGTCATGACGTCATTGAAGGTGATGGCGGCCCCGGCGGGCTTGCTCTCCATCAGTTGCTGGATGTTATCGAGGACGCGCTCGACGACGACCTGAAGGACTGGGTGGCCCGGCTTGGTGAACATGGCGAACTGCGCCAGCGCGACTGAGTGTGGTGAGACCCCAGGCAGGACGGACTTCTTGTGGTGGTCGGATTCAATGCCGATGACCAAGTTGGTCTTGCCACGGTGTTGCTCGGGGATCCATTTGGAGACAGGTTGGAGTGGGCGGACGTCGATGTCAGCCCAGACACCGCCTTCCTTCAGCATGAGGAGGTAGCAGAGGAGGTCGGCTTTCAGAATCGGATCGTGTAGGTTGGTGAAGACGTCGACGGTCCGGCCCATCGAAGCGGTCGCGGACGTAGGCATCCATGTTGGCGTCTGTGAGGCGTTCGTATCGCCAGTCGGGGTTGACCGCGCGCCACTGATGGGGCAACCCGGCGGCCTTCTCGGTCGGGTTTTCCGAGTCATCCTTCCAACTTTGCCAGATTTTTTTGGGGAACGGTTGCGAAAGGAGATCTTGGGACGACGGGGCATCGGGTGATTTTCCTTGGAAAAAGGCGACTGCATAGCGGGATAAGTCAGCTTCAACTCCCCATGCGTTGTGTGGAAATGGAAAGGCCCATCATACCGCCCGTGGAGTTCTTGTACGTGTAATGCCCTGCCAGCAGGAATACGAGTGTCACGGCCGCGACGAGCGCAAATATGCCTCTCTTGGATATCCATGCCGCTAACATATTGAACGAGGCCCCGCTGCAAGTCGAGGGGGAGGACGGCCGCAAAACAGCTGGTCTGTCGCAGCACCACTGGTGCGGCTGGAGGATTATATGGCTCTTTGCAAGACAGAAATGGGAGAAGAATGCACATGTGCTGACGACGTTGCAACCCCAGCCCTTCGGTTGCGCGCGGAACTGTTGCCGCCCAAACCCAGCCGCGATCAGCGGCTCGACGCGCAGCGGGGAAGAGACGAGCCAATCACTCCTGAATCTTTGGCGCCGTGTCTCCGGCGCTAAACCTATACCGTTAAGACAAGAAGCCAAGGGGTAGAGCTGGAACCAACAATCCACGAACTTATTAAACGAACCAACGAGGAGTCAATGTCGCGATCTCGAGGGTCATACCAACCCTTCATTCAGGGGGATGGCAATGCAAGTTCTCGCCATGGGCCCTGGCCTCCGAGAAAGCGCCCCCAACGGCGTGGCCGACCGCAGACCTGGGAGATTTGGATGGATGTTTCGAGGAGAATAACAACATGCTGTCGGGCGCTTCTCTTCGCGCGTCTAAGGTTCCCTTCTTTGTCTTTGCTCCTCGACGTGTTCCGGGAAAAAATAACTGCCTTTTCTGGCAATTCGTGACCGAGACGGTTATACAACAACAGGCTTCTTGAGAAGTCCCCGGCAGCCGACGGCAACATGAGGCTAAGTTGGGGTTTGACCGTCTCGTGTATACTCTTCTTCACCTGTATCTGCGTAGCCCAGGACCAATGCTACGCCCCGAACGGTCAGACTGACGACAACTTTTTCCCATGCGACCCGAACGCTACACACAGCACATGCTGCAATGGTCGCTCGACCTGTCTCAGTAACAAGCTGTGTATGGGACCGGACGGGAACCTAATCAGGGGACTCTGTACGGATAAAAACTGGCAATCCCCCGAGTGCGCCTACTACTGCATGAGTAGGTCGACAGAGCTCCTTCACTCGGATATAGCCATAAGGCGCTGACAAGAACTTCCCCAGGTGCGATCCGCGGCGGCCACGATCTCATCTCCTGTTCCAACGTCACCAACACCGACACCTCTTTCTGCTGTGACGGCCACCGTGCATTCTGCTGCGACGACGGCGTGGCGCGGTTCAACGTGTTACCTTCCAATCCGCAGGCCTGGGCAACCTGGGACAATTCCGCATCACACTTTGTCGTCGTCCAAGACCTGAAAACTACCTCAACAGGAAGTCTACCAGCCGCCACCGGAACGAGCACCACCCCATCAACAACTCCCCCAGCCGCAACCACAGACAGTGACCAAACCCAATCCGCGCCCACTTCACCCACCGCCACGGACACCAGCACCCCATCCGAATCGCCACAATCCACCACCCTACCCATAGCCGCGCAAGCTGGCATCGGCGTGGGGATTGGCGCCCTGGCGATCGCCCTCGCCGCGGTAGCATATCTGCTGTGGAAGCTCCGGCGGAGCAAAAAGGCCCTCCTCGCCGAGAAAGAGCAGTCCAACAACGGGGCGGGGGCCTTGGGATACCTTCACGCGGCAACAATACGCCACTCCTGGAGTTCCTCTGCCGCCGGGTAAGGACCCGTATAATCAGACTGGGTTGGGTGGGCAGAGGCAGGAACTAGGGGTGAACACGAGATATGAGATGGATCCGTATTCGCATCATACGCACGCGTATGGGGGGCGAGTGGAGTTGTCGGGTACGCCGAGGTAGCAATAGTGGTAGGCGGGGGTGGGGTGTATATACAGGAGATGGGTTGGGGTTGAGAGCGAAAATTGTACCTAGAGCAGTGTTATAGAGTGGGTAAAGTTTGCCGGACGGTGGGTGAGTTGAAGTTTGGATTCATGTAATATAATTAATTACTTCCAGTCACGATTTGAATGGTTTGCTCACCATGCCTATAGTTATCTTCTCGAGGACCTTGCTTTTTGTCGAGTGCACGGTTGAGTCTGAAACTGCGCATTTTCAGACATCAAAGTCCCAAGAACCGTTAGCCCTGGCCTGGTGGGCGCTAGGTCCTCCAAAGAAGATAATGGACAAGCCAAGTGCGAGAGAGTACAATGCAAGCCCATTTCGTGGAACACATCAATATGAATGTCATACGGTGGATATAATATGCATCGACCCGCTCGTCATCAAGGGGCATTACATCAGACGGTGGGTTCTTGAAAATAATTGAGAGTTGCGGCTGGCACATTTGCAGGATATGATACAGATGGTTTCGGTTTGCACTGGTGGGTCCCTTAGAAAAGGGGTTTGTAAACAACTCCGGTGCACATTTATACAACACTGATGGCGTTCAAGTTGTTCTTTGATGTCATTATACCACCTAGGATAAAATCACTAGACATTCACCTTCGAAACATGTTTGTGGACTCTGGTTCTTAATATTCTGGAGGCTGGCATTGAATTTGGGCCCTGAGGGATGGATCACCTGGATATATGTACCTTAGTTGGTGGGTTCCGCTGTCGGAGTTGCCAACGCTGGGCCCTGTCAAATCAAGTAGACAAGCAAGCGCTTCTAGCTGTGTTCCTGAGTAACAAATAACGTTGTAGGTCGGAGTCTCCGCATATACACGTGTATGATTCATTGGCGCTTAGTCTATACGCTGATCACTAGAGAGCGTCGGCGCAGCAACCCACCGAGCACCCACCTCACGTTCTCCCCTTTACTACCTGCCTAACAACCACCGAACATCACCACGCCCCCGGTCTTATTCCTGATTGAATCCACCACCATGACAACCATCTTCGATGTCCCGGGCACCAACTCCCCAAGGCCCTTTTCCCCGCTCATCCAGCAAGCTTTCCACGTCGAGACACCCGAAGCTGCAACATTCAATGAACTCGCCGCTCAGATCGTCAAGCAAGTAACCACCTCCCCCGACCCAGCAAACGCATTTTGGTCGCTCTGGGACGCCTTCTTCGTCGCCATCACCACCTCCCCTCCCCACCCCCCAACCACCCACGGCGAACCATTCGCCTCCCCACTCGCCCTCCTCGACGCCCTACGCGCACACCCACCCACCACACCCACCAATGTCGCGGCCGGTTCCGACGCAGAACTCAAGCTCCGCACCACATACCTCGACAAGACCTCCCACACGATCCCTTGGTCCAACCTCCCCGGCTTCTCTGCACAGTGGCGTGACGTGCACGACATCCTCGAGGCGTGGCGCGACTGGGACGGCATCCGCCGCAGCAGCGGCACTACCACGAACACGGCCACCCCCAACGACGTCCACCATGATGATGAGCGCCACGACCCCGCGCAGTACTTCCTCCGCTTCGTCTCCTTCTCGGTCGCGCTGCTTCAGCGAGAGCACGACCGACACCGACACAGAGACGGCGGTGGCGGGCGCGCCGGTATCGTCCATCTGGGTGTTCTTCAGCTGCAAAGAATGTCACTAGACAGCGACGGTCCCCCAGCCGCTGTCTGAACGAAAAGGGGCACTGTATCTCGCCGGCGCAAGTGTGAGGCGCTGAATGTGAGGGCGTGGCCGACATGGGTGCGGGAGTGGGGGCGGGGTTGTTGTGGGAAGGCCGAAT